ACTTGCCCGCAAGTTTACGGAAACCGAGACCACCAGCACGACAACGCGTCCATCGAACGGAGAGCTCTGCCCGAGAGCCGTTTCGATGCTCGAATTTAGGTCGCGTCTTACTCGCCCTTCGTACTTTGGCCCCGAAGTCATGGTAAATATTCGATTACTCGCGAGAGGAACTTCTCTGACCGGGCAACCGTGAAATTTCAAATCCCCAAACTGTCCCGCTAAATCGACGATCGTTGCTTACCACACAAAAGGAATCGAAAATAAAATTAATCAATCGATGGCTTTAAAATGATAATACATATGTTTAAAACCAAGTCAAATTTTTCGCACGGAATTGAGTCGAAAATTTGAAATGAAATTTTTTCGTACGACATTCCGTTATATACGGTCGCTCGTGATCGTAAATCGACATAGCAGATAATATAAGTGACTTTAAAATGATAACTTATATACTCTGCTTGCGACCAAAAGGAGGATGAATTTTTCTCGCGAAATTGAATCGAAAATTTCGTGTGAAATTTCTTCGTACGTGGTTCCATTATACGGTCGCTCGTGGTCGTAAATCGACGCAGCAAATAAAATGAATTACTTTAAAATGATAGTTTATATAATCGAAGACGAATTTTTCGTGTGAAGCTGAATCGAAAATTTATATTCTCATTTTGAGAATTTGTCGCGTAAACGTATATCTAGCTACGGTTCAATTCGTCGAATGATACTTTAGTTAATTGTGGTTGTTTATATGAATACGAGTCATTTTTCTACATCGTCGTAAAAATGGTATAACATCGAAGACCCTGTTTTCGATTCATTAATCACGCGAGTCCAGAGCGACGTTAATAATACGAGTTAATTAGAAACGATTATTCACCGGGATTCGGATCGATCGGTAATTGACAGATTCTTCACAGCCAGAGAATCGTTAACGATTTCCTTCTTTCGTCTCTACTATTTATCCTCGCTGACAGTCCATTTCAGAGAAACACAGGATCGATCGAGTATTTTCAATCAAGAGTCTCCCGGCTCGGACCCGTATCGATTATTCGCGACGGATTCAGATTCATTAAAAGGAACTCGATCGGAAAGAAGAATTCGAACGAGCCCCCTCTCGTACGCAACGTCAATCCCGAGAGAAGATTTTTCCCTCGGCGATCTGTTACCTTGATTACGAAGCAACGATTGTACCTTGCGATCCATAGCGTGCCTCGAACGTTCGGAATAGCTCTCGAATTTTTAGCGCATGCTACCACTGGAATACGCTGACCGACGAACCGTTTTGCAATTTCATTCTATTCTGGCCCCTTCGATAAATTAATATCATCGAAAATTAGGTCACAATATACGAATATTCAAATAGAAAGTCCAAATATCATAAAAACGTACTCGATGTTACTTTTCACGTAAGACGTAAGACGTAAGACGTAAGACGGTCTAGCTTTAAGTCTTGACTCGACTATAAAAATTATTTAACAGACATATATAGGTGGCAGGACTTTTCACTAAGAAGCTAGAAAAATTAATTCTCAATATCGGATATTAAAAAAAGGACACTTGAATTTCAATTATTTGTAGGTAGTCTCGAAATGTTTGAAAACAAAGTTTCAGTTTCGTGAAACATCAAAACTCTTTCGAAGATAGAGAAATGACGAAGAAATGCATCGTTTTAACAAAAATCTTCTTTTCCTGTCCTTCCACGATTAAAATAGCAAGAAATAGTTGAGATACGAGGGACCCGACAACGAAAGCGTTAATATTTCATTATCTCTCGTCGCTCGAGCGCTGCTGGCAATCAAGCCTAAAGAGTGAAGGCGATTATTATTAAAGCTTCTCGGTCCCGTTGTCCGTGGGAACCGGTCAGAAAGGGACTTCCGGACGGGTTCGATCCCCCGGCGTTCCGCGATTTAATAGAAAAACGTCGGTGCAGATTAAAGGCAGGGCTCTCGACCGCGAAAACTGCGCCGTGAAATCGCCGGACGAACTAACGGCTAAATAAAGGAACTTTCAATCCGTCAAATTCTGAGAGATGAAAACTATCGGCCGTCGACGGGGCTGATAGTCGATCAAATTCGCCGGATACGCAATAAGTCGACATATTAAAAAAGTTTCGCGCGTCCGAGAAAGGGACGGGACGGAAAGGTAAATCGTGATTCGAGCCGTGAAACGAAAAATTCGAGGCGCCTCCGAGCTTCGGGGGGGAAAAGGGATTCGTCGAAATTCAGATACGCTTCGAAACTCGTCGGTAGGAGGGGGGGAGGGGAGGAGAGAATTTGCAATAGCGAAATTACGTTTACCGGGGCTGTTGGAATTTCTACGTAGTTTAACAAGTGCGCTCGAATGTCGAGAACGTGTCGCGAAACGTGGCGAACATCGGGAAGCTCGATCGACCGCAAACTTTTAAGTGGCTGATGTCGCGAAAGACAAATTTCGGTCGTACGTTTTCTCGCGGAATAAGTTCCAAACGAGTGTCTCGACGTTTTTCCTGCCACGTTCGCTCTCTGGACCGCCAACGACTCTTTTAAAAGAATGGACGATGAAAGGGGACTGCATCGATTGCCTCGAGAAGAAATCCATCGTGATTTCGTTAATCGATAGGCGTGGGGTTTGTGGGCGAGTACTGTTTAAGAATTATTGGAACTCGAACCGCTATTTCTCAAGAGGACGTTTGGAGACTTTTCATCCTCGCGTAAAATACGACGCTATCAAAAAATTTGACCTGAATTTTTTAGATCAGAGTCAATTTTGCGGTCACTTTTTTTTAATGGATCGCCACCGATGGCAGCGACGCGTAATATTTTTACATTACACGTACGCTATATGTACATTAAAACACATTTTATATTTTACAGAATTGATTTAATTCTACTTTAATTTACTGGCTCTTTTTTCCTATATGCAAAAGACTAAGTTCATAGTAAATTGCATTTTAATACAGAAACTAGTATTATTACATATAAATAAATACAAACCGAACCTGAACAACGCGTCGATACGAGTGCAATCTTCGTTTCTGAACTCTAAAAAGCAGATATTTTAAGGAAGCTTAATAAACGTCTTTCGAAAACCGAGCAGAGGAAGATGCAACGAATTATATCCAGTCACGATACCTGGGGCTTTATATTTAATTAATTTCTAAAAATACAGCAACGCTTCAGATCTTTGTTAATAATACGTAATGTAATCTTGTTACGCGTTTCGAAGACGAGATTAAAACTGTTGATGGAGTCTTGATTAAAATAACGACGCGATGGAACGATTAAATTGACGATAAGCGTGAGTCTGCGAATCTTAAAATATACGACCCAGTAATTCCCCGTTAAATATGAATATTTTGATAAAGAAATTTTGCTATTACACTTTTAAACTTTTCGAGTTGGTATATTTATGCGACGCAGTAGCGGCGCGTGTGACGAAAGAGGATGATAACAGACACAACGATAAGATTTATTGCAGTGCAAGTTTCTCTGCCTTCTGTTTTGCAATTCCCATTGATGTCGTCAAGCATCCGTGACGAAGCTGTCAAAGCGATCGAAGCAACGTTGCGAATCTCTTCTGCGAGCAGCCTCGCCTCGAAGATCCGCGAAACAAAGAGACTGCATACGCAAGGGGCTTGAACGCGTTGCATCATCGAACGACATGACTAATTAGAGGCGCATTTACATTCAATTGAACCCCGATTCGAAGCGACTGTCGGTTAATCGACTACGCGATTATCGTAATTTTGACACGCGCCGCTTGCTCATTCCAGCGATTGGTTGAATGCTATCCACCGGGCTCAGAGGCATACGCATTATATCTCGAGATCACGTGTTGCATCCCCGATAACGGACCATTCTCAGCAAACCGAACGCTGCATTATCGTTTCGATATATTTCGACAACGTTTCGACCCTCCAGCTAGGAACCTAGATTTTCTGGGGAAATTTTTATCGAAGAAAGCTATTCCTTTTTCCGTTCAATTTTAATCCATACTTTTAACCCTATGCTTCGAGAGTATACACAATTTTTTTTGTGCAAAAATATTAAAAATTGTAGCAGTTACGATGAATCCAGTGTAGGTCTTTAAAAATTGATAAAGTGATACCTTAAATTCTGAATTACTTATTTAACTATTTTTTTAACTCACTAAACGTAAGAAGAAAATATAAAATTCTATATCGACTGAAATGCTTGTTGATCTTTCGACCAAACAGAAACCAACAGTGTTAAAATCCAAAGTTTGCACAATTGCGGTTTAATTTTCAATCTGAAATAGAAGAAAACGCCAGTACCAAGGTAGCAAGTTTCCCGGGGATAAACCACTTTTGTTTCGACTAATCAGAAGCGGAACGCAAACTGTATCAAACACTGGGATTCTCGAGTCTCGAACCGCGGTAATAAAATATTAATAAAGAGCGACGAAAAGATAGTAGTCTTCGAAATTAACATATAAATATGAAAAGTTTGCCGCCCCGAATGGCTTATTCTCGCGAAATATTTCCCCGTCAGGCGTTTGAAAAAAGAGCTGTTGGGAAACAACTTACGCTGAGCACTTTTATCACGCTGGCTGCCAAGCCAATCTAACGAAACTTTTCTTAGTCACCGATCTACGTTGTTTCGCGACTTGTAACGTCTGTATAAAAGCCATTCGCTACTGGGCGTAAAATAAAAAAAACGATAATAAAAGGAAATATTTACAATAATTATTCGGCATGATAAATTAAGTAAATTAAGTGAAATATATCGCTCTGTAATTCATGCTTCTATTCTGTAAGTTATTGGAGATTCTCTGGTTTCATACGGTAAATAATCACTGGGTATTTGTGCAACCCAGTTTTGGTCGAAGATAATCGGTTTTTTCACAAAAAGCAGGGGAAATTAAAATGGCAATTGATTAAAGCATCGAGCACAGGTCATCTTGGCAAATATGGAATTTTCAGGACACCGATGCGACCCAGATATCCAAGAATTCGCATTCCTCGGGGTCATATCGCCCTTGCTTGAATATTCTTTGAAGGTACTCACCTGAACAAGAGGAATCCCAACCCGGTGACCGCAGCTCGTCGAACGTCGTCGTTCACATCGGAAACCTGGCGAGACAGACATTTACATTATTAGACAAATCGATTAATAATCATTGAAAAGGATGTTCATCGACTCTAAAATATATTTTTCTCGGTTTAGATTATCAGTAACTATTTGCACCGTGAATAAAAAACCGAAGAGGTTACGCAAAAATTCTGAAAGCAACGAATATATAATTGTATTTTAAATATTTATTTATTATCCGAAGCATGTGCTGATAATTAATCGAACTCTCGAAGCAGTAATTTCAATCATTCCCGTTCTATCTACGGTATCAACTTCTTGACACTTTAATCGTATATAATTTCTGATAAGCAGGTACCATCAATGTCGACAATTTAAACGATTACGGAATCTAAACAGATACGGAAACGAAAGAATTCATTTGTAACGTCGAATAGGTATATAGAAATTACAGGACTTTGGACCCAACTCTTCAACAAAATCCTTGACAAAAATGTAATATACATATAACATTCGAAAGTAATGTTTAATTTCAAAGTCGTATTTTTACAGTCGCTTGATGAAATATCTTTAATATGATTATTCTTCTGGCAAACACGGTAATTTCCAGTTTCGAGCAAAACGCTCGTCGGTTTAGTTCACACGAAAGAGCGGTAGATAATGATTTATATTACAAAACCTATATCTATACGAGTGTATTATCAAAGGATTGGCAAGATTTTCCCGATAAAAAAAATCTCCAAATACGACCTTCGTCGGATTATTGTCAATCTATATGATGTTTTGACATATGACACTTGTATAAAATTTCCAAGGACAACATTCTTCGATACAAGACAAACTCTTTACCGATATAATAGAAACTATACAAGTTTTAACTTTAAAATTTGATGCATAAACATAAATAATCCCAAAACTGTTTATAACATGGATACTTTCTTACTCGATAAATAATACTCGACCAATATAGTTCGAACGCTAAGAACATTTAAACGATGGTATTCGAAGCGCATTCGTGGTATCGGAATATCCCCGTATAACATTCGAATAGTTCAGAACCCCGATTCGTAACTCGCAAAGAAAACTTACAGCGACGTGCAGCAACTTCCGGATGGCCTGATTGTTTCCGGTACCGCAATATGCCATCGCAAGCGTGTACATGCCGCTCCTTCGCAGTATCGGATCCTTATCGGAGCAGAGCGAAGTCACCAGAGAATCGGCTTCCTCGAGCCGGCCGTACATGGTGAACGCGATCCCGACGGCTAATCCTCGAAGGATCTTCTCGTGCTGTGTTTCTTGTGCATACTGAAAAACGACCAAGAGAAAAGAAATATAAAACTTCGAATAAAACTGCGGGACCGTGGAGCTTCGTCCGCCTTTCTTCCGCGAAATTTTATTAAGCGAAGCACCCAAGACACAAAGGTACCTACGCGATGTTCGGAAACGAATTTTACTACTTTGTTCGGGCGGGAAGTAAAAGATGTTTCGTCGGGGGAACGCGTTCTATCGAACGGGATCCGGAGGATCCAGGTTCACTGGCAAAGCCTCGTCTTTCGCTTCGATGTGATTTATGAACAAAGGTTCGCGCAAAAATGTCCTCCAGCGAAGCAAAAATTCGGTTACTGCTACCTGACTCTTGGGAATTTCTGCTTTAAGGAAGTCCGAATACCGTGTATAGTTCTGCTTGCAAGTTCTGTTACAAGCGTGTCGGGATTTTGGAAAATGAATAAGGAATGGTTTGTGTGAGAACGTTCGTCCTAAACACGAATTCAAGTATGAAATATCTAAAGGAGAAAGTTATAAAAATTAGATGGCATTTTTGCCGTCGCAACCACGGAATTGTTACTAAAATTTATCGAAGACAAGATTTATGATTTATTAAAAAAATTCTCCGTTAGGAAGAAATTAATTATGCATTGCAAGGAAAGTTAAACTCGTCGAATATCCTTTGTAAAAAGTCGGAAAAGACTCATTTGGAGTGACCATAAGTGGTTGGGCTTAGAAAGCGATTTAGCTGCGCTCTTTTATCTTCGCATATGGAATTCATTCCTCGAGATAATCGAATGTTTACCTTCTATAGCACTATGAAGTACAATAAGGATGTTAAATAAAAAATATGTAAAACTGTTCCACATTTCGTATCATTATTAATATTACTTCCTTTACGAATCTCTTCACAGCTTTAAAAAAAAGAAATAAGATAAACGAATAAGGCGGATGGACCTTTTTCGTTTGTTTTCCAAGTCTCTGAATGCATCGATCTCTCTGTTTGAATCACCCTGTACAGACACTTGTCTTGCTATCACATTAATTGCAAATGTACGAAAAAATATATCAAACGTAACTGATTGACGTCGGAAAAGAGGCAAAGAAACGTCTGGATATCTTGAAAAGATCTCGCTCGTTGCGCACGCGATATACTTACAACAATTTTCTAATCTTTGTCGAGCTAATGAAAACTTATATTAAATTTGATTCGAAAGATAACAACGCTCCACGAGACAAGAGTAATAATAACAAAGTACCATAATAATATCAAACTACTATCGCGTATCAATTTTCAAACGTTATACAAATATTATACGCACAAAATTGTTTCGCAATCTAATGCAACGTTACCGCGTGAAAGAATTTATTTTCAACATTCTGAAATCTCCTAACAACGCGTCTCTCTATTCAATTTATAATTTTCTTTCGTTGTACTTCGTCAGATACTTTGGAAATATCTTAACGAATGTTTTATTGAAAACCGAAAAGCTGGTATCTTATTTTCAGGCTTCCCAAGACTCCCGCCGAATCGAGAAATACTCGACGAGTACGAAACGAAATCCACCTGATCTTCAGACAGTTAGAGCAACCCTGACAAAGTGACGCAGTTTGTCCTTGCACCTAGTTTTCCACCGACAGTAAGTGGATTTCGTTGTTTCCCGAAGGTAATCGTCCCGCGAAGAAATACGATGACCACGAGGTGCCTTATTCCGCGGACGAGTCGAATTTCGCGAAGAAATAGACGAAGATTATGCGCGTAGGTTGGCGACGTATTAATATTACTTTTTTCTCGCTTTGAATCCGTTGAACCAAGAGGTTCTTAATCTTTCTAAGCTCGCGACGCTATATTAAAAATAGATCTCGATGCAAATGCTTTTTTAACATACTAGGTATTATTGACAAAAAATAAACTAAATAAAACATAACGATACGAAATGTATTTTATTTACCTGTCTAAGAATTCTGATTTAGCATTGAATACTCCCCTAAAAATACAATTTTTGATTCCAAGATATGTTTGTTTCGAGAGACTACTTTTCCTCGCAGAAGTGTCACGACTTTGCAATTCGTGATGTACGAAACCACGAAATTCGAAGTTTCACGAAAATTTATTTCGTCAAAACGAAACAGCCAAATAGTTTCGAATCGTAAAATTGCTATAACTCTAAGTCGTCTAATCATTCGATCGTTCGATAAAGCAGATAACGATTATCGTAATTTTCTGTTAAAACATCTGAAAGAAGAAAAATAGAAGACGAAAGGATTAGGCGATTGAAGTTGACGGTCTCAAAGTTTTTGATGTTCACCGACGGATGCGTTGTTTGTAAACGATTATTGCAGCAACGCATTAAAAGCATTTTAATCCGCATTCTCACGGATGCTGCGCAATAGCACATTCGTAGTCGATGTTGCAAAATATGAAATTGCAAGTAGATAATAACTGCAACGCAAAAAAAAAGAAAGAAAGAAAAAGAAACCGATTAGCATTTGGAATAAAAAGGCAAAAACGAATGATGTTCGATTTAAACGGGATTCTCGACGCCAAGTGTCTTCGATCGATCTTCGCGATATGTCCAATATTGATTTACGTAACGCACCCGTTACTCGATTAATATTTGTTTGACGTTTAAAATATTTCACGTATAGTCGTGTTTAATTTGTACTTTATTTAACGAAAATGTAGATCGAGATAAATCCCCGTCGTAATAAATTAAATACGTAATGCAACGCGTATGGCAAACATACCCCTCTCCGAATGTTCGTACACGTTTTCAAACAAATTTGAAAGTGGATATAAACAAACGAAAGCAAGGCCAAGAGCTCAGTTCTTGCACAAACATCGAAGAGCTCTCGATTTATTAAAAGAAAATCATAATTAAAAACTTGGTAACGGAGTGTTGCTTTTCATAGATCTCATCAGCTTAACAACTGAGGTATTTAACTTCGATTCGTTTCATTTTCTTTTCTTTTTAATTCGCCTATTTCCAATTTGACAGGAATTCGTCGAAAATAAAATCTTTTATTCTTTGAACGATGTACGGATTTCGAGTTGTGACTCAACTTTTTTCATAATCTCGAGTTGCCAGAGCTCTTCTCGAGGCTCAATCTGAAGAGTGCGCCACGGATTTCATGTTTCGCAACGCTTTCTCAATCTGAACGATCGAGATAATATCCAGCTAATAAGCTCGAGCTTATTTTTTGAGCCGACCGAAAGAAAGAAATTTCACAAACGCGTTCGTTCGCGAACATCTATAAGAGGGGAAAGAAAAAGAACAGTTTCTCTGTAAAGAGAAACGAATCGTTCGTGGATTTCACAACAGTGTAAATCAGAAAACACACCGAAACTCGCGAGAATCACACACCGGTAATTAATTTAGTGTGAATCAGTGATTGTCCTTCGGCCGTATCACTTATCAACGTTGTGGTGCTCGAGTGGATGCTCATTGTTTCCATTAGACGTATAAAAGAAGCTAGGAACAGAAGGAGCTAGATAGTCGAGGAATAGTAACGCGCGTGGCGGTTCGCGACAACGAAATCACGATGGTTGTTCCAGCTTTGGCTCTGAGTTCGTATAAAAATATTATTAATAATGCAATAACCTGTTTCGATAACCGTTTGGGATTTGCTTGCAGTTTATCCCAGCCTGATCGGCGCCCTGCTGCAGGCCAATTACACGATCATGCCGGACGAAACCGGAACAGCATATTTGGTCAAACTAGACCATGCACCGCTAACTTTAAACGAAATTAAGGAATTGGCCGACAACATCGATACCATCACCTTCACGCTCTTCACTCGGTTGGAAAAATATTTCTTTTCAATTTCATTCCTGCGATCTCTCCTTTTAAAAGTCTTGCGATCTTTCACAACACATGATTCTTTACTACTAACTCTAACTCGATAAAATGATTTTAATACAACAGCAAGTTTGAATAAGATTTTTGTACCCTTCGTTTCAGACAAAACCCGACAAATGGACAAAGATTGGAGCTGAACAATGTCAACAGTGTCTCGAGTAGCCACTGGAACTCGAATAGACCGACGGTCATAGTCACTCATGGTTGGAAAAGCAGTGGCAACTCTAACTCCTGCACGATGGTCCGCGATGGTAACATTAAATAAAATCTACTCTTGTCATAAATACTATTATAACCATATTATGATGTCTTAACGTAATATTAAGGCACCTAGTAAATATCAATGTTAATGGCTACGATTATTTATATTTGACGTCGTTGTCATTGTTCGATCACCTTCAAGACTAGTAATATATTTCATAAAACATATTTACAAAGTGAAATAATATGTAAAATACGTGAAAATGACAGCAACAATCGTTATTGCTTTTAAATAACAAGATCACTTGGCACATATTCGGGGTGAAACCTTTGCAAATAGCCGAGCACTACTGCGATATAAACGCCAATCGTCTCGATAATTAAATGGTGACGTTTTTCAGCTTACATCAAGGCTATGGACTGCAACGTGATCATCGTAGACTGGAGTACGATAGCCAACAATCTGGTATATTCGACGGTCGCGAAAAGCGTGCCAGCCGTAGCTGACCGTGTCGCGTCTTTCTCTAGTTTCCTCCGTTCAAGGATGAATCTCAGAGCCAGTACTACGAAGATGATTGGACACTCCCTAGGTGCACACGTTGTGGGATTGGCGGGACGAAAACTGGCAAACTCCGGTGTAGTCTCGGAAATTACCGGTACGTAACAGCACATAATCTGAGTTACAACGTTTATCAAATCAACTAATGCTTCAAAATCGTCCATATATCCTAGGAAACGTGTTCCTTTAGTTTTTTTTACTACTATAATACAAGAAGACCTATTAGACTCTTAAACGATTGCAATTGCAGGCCTTGACCCGGCCAAACCGATGTTCGAAAGCAAAGGTCCCGATGGGAGAATCGACAGTTCGCAAGCGAGAATCGTTGAAATTATTCACACGGCTGCTGGCAAACTGGGCCTCGACAAAGCAGTAGGTACCTCTGATTTCTACGCCAACGGAGGCAGTAGCCAACCAGGATGCTCCACCGACTTACTCGGTAAGAATAAAATAATTTAGACTCGCTTTAGAACGCAGAAATAGAAAGATCGTGTGTCTAGAAATGATGAAGATTCGCTATGACTAAGAATTATGTACGATTAAAAATACACAAGCCAATGGACGAATTTCTGAATTACGGATGGAAAGTTACCACCGTCAAATTACGTAGTCGATACAACTGTCCCTGAACATCGATCCTCTTTAATATCGATGCCTTGGAACTTTGATCACTGCAAAGATAGGTACCACTAGGCTTGCTTCTCCTTTGTCGTGTCAGACAAAAGACTTAACAGTGTTATAGTACAGTCAGAATCTCGGCCCAACTAGCTCGAAACGATTTTTTTGCTTTAAATCCGCGCGCTTCGCGACTAGAAGTGCTATAAGTTATAAATTAACAAAGAATAATAAATTACAGGCTCCTGCGCTCATTCTCGCAGCTACCAGTATTTCAGTGAATCTGTCGTAAGTCCAAGGGCTTTCCCCAGTACTCCAGTGAAAGGAGATAAGATCGAGTACATGGGTGGACCGAATCTTAGTTCCAGGTAAATTTCTCGTTATTATTATAATATGTTCTACTAATCAACGTTACGTCTAATTTATGCCTTCTTGTCTTTTCCAGTGCCACAGGCTCTTACAATTTCAAAACTTCAAGTCAGCCACCTTACGCCCCAGGTGGTTAACTCTACTCTTTAAATTTGTTATAATATTAATAATGTTAATATAAACTGACTTTTAGTTTTTTAAATACTGTATCAATCCTTAAAGTTCCTTACATAACTCGAAATAGTATGGAATGAAAGTTCATAAACTTTCTTCCAAGATTCGCGATCGATTAAAATTAGTTCGCGTAAAATATGTATGGATCAACTTACCGCAACCATATCTTCTATCGCCTGGGTTGATTTGGATCCCAGCATGACCATCCCCATGGCAATACCGGCAGCCTCGCCAGTAATAGCATCGTCTTGATAAAGATTGAACTTCAATTGTTCGTAAACATCCTGTCTGTGTGACCCCATAGCGGCTAAACCCAATCCTAAGCAGCCTCCGTGACGAACCATCTACGAGGACACCATCGCAAAATGTCGCGTTGGATTACTTCGTGACGAAACAAATAAACAACATCGTACACACCTCGTTCTGCGCGTCCTTCAGCTGCCCGAGTAAGTAATCCGTGATAACTGCACCGTGATTTGCGTGAATCAGTCCTAACGCGTATAAACCGCCTCCCTCGGAATAACCAGCACCAGCACCGGTGTCTCGCGGGAGATAGGATTGCATTAATGCTAAAGCTTCCTGTTCGTGACCTCTATGAATAACACCTAAAGACGCAGTCGCCGTTAGCTTGGCCCAATTCGTAGCCCGAGCCAGCCATTCTAAATTGTCCCTAAAGTATAATATTTTGTGAGGATACGGTACGAAATTACAAACGATTAACTAAAGTGATGTGTAGTTAACCTTAAAAATTGATCGCTAGTTGTCCCGGAATGCATGTATGCATTCGCGATTACTGTGGCAGTATGGCAAATAGACACCCGTATAGCATCCTTAGTGTTCTTCAATATTAACATATCGGTGTGATTACTACGAATTAAGAATTGCAGATGCAAGTCGATGGAAATTTCACCGCCCAAAATATTCGACAGTGCGTCTACTCGTTCTTGTTGTTCACGTTCTACGGCATTCTGAAACGAAAAATGGCAGAACGTAACCTAAAATCGCGGACACTACTAAATTCCCGAAGCTAAACTTTCATATTCAGCATTCAATCCCCCCTCTTCCTTATCCCCTCCAAATTTGGTGTCTGTCGTCCGCGAGTGTCATTCGGAAAAACAACCGATTAAAAGACGGTATTATTTGTTAGGCGCGTTAAAATAAATAATGTAACTTACCAAACTTTCAACGCTACGTTCGGATGTCTCCTCTGGCGCGGGTGTAGCAGTTTCGATTTCCATGCTCGTGGAGTCAGAATTAGTTTCGGTAGATGCCTTCACGGCTGGTTTCACGATTGGTTTAACCGTAAGAGCACTTGGAATGGGAGCCATTGCTCTAAGAGCTTGTAAAACGCGATCGAGGAACTGCTGTGTCGCTGATTCGTACAAATCAAACGCGATCTGATAGGCCATAAGGACGCAGTCTTGCGAGCCTTTGCTCAGTCTGTCTAAGAGTTCGGCAACGGCTAGCGGATCGTCAAGAAATATCAAGCATTGACACATGTTTACATAGTCTGGTGTGCCAAGATTACGATAGAGGCTGAGCAGGCAGCGAAGTACGGTATTACGAAAACCACGGTTCTGAATAAGACTCATGACAACTTGGAAAGCATAGGACAACATGCCACTCACGTCATCCTGAAAATAATAAATAACATCAAATTAACCTTTCACAAACTCAAAAATTCATAAATCGTATCATTCATAAATTAACATTTTTCTTACCGACTGCATAATTGCAGCTTCAAAAATATCCATTCTTCTAGTTTCAAGAGCAAGACCTAAAGCTTGTCTATACTGATTGTCATCTAAACAGCGTTGAAACATTCTATTCACAATGCCTTCCAATCTAGGATCGATTCCTTTACTGCCTGGTGGTAACTTTCCTTCGGCTTCCAAAACTCGTTGTTGAGTATAATAATCAATACATTTAGCTATAGAAAAAAAATTCCAATAAATACATATGACCTAATAAAACTGAAATTGCTAGTAATAAAAATAAATTTATACTAGTACCTATAGTGGTATCAACGTATTCGTTGCGAGCATTGACATCAAAAAGGTCTGCAGCTCCAAGAGCATACGTAAGAGAATCTTCAAAACTTCCTAAATGATAATAAACTTTACTAGCAACTAATGCAGCTAAGTCATGCTGTGGAAATGACTTATCCTCGTGAAGAATTTCACTAAAACACAAGGAATTTGCTGTCACAATACAAAGATAAAATAATTATAACCCACTAAACTAGAGCACTTGAATTACATACATTTTTTCTATTGCCTCCGAAATTTCAGGCCAAAATTCATCGACGATCATGTCCAATTTTTTAAGAGCAAACACCTTTAATTCTGGCATTGGCTCCTCAAGGAGGGAGATAATACCAGCTGAAAAAGTGAAGTTTATTCATTAAATTTACTTAAGCAAAGTACTTAAATGATATGTCCGAATATTCCCCTAAAAATGTACGAGTTATACAATACTCGTTAACGCTGTTTGAAATTAATTAAACAATTTCATCTGATATTTTGGATATAAGTTTGAAGGTTATGGTCCACAAGATTTGCAAATCATTGCACGTACAGTGATTCAGTATTGTGTAAAAATTTACAAATAAGATAATAATGTAATTTTAAAACGTTGTCTAATACTAAATATGTAATAAATAACTTACCGGCGGATGTAATATTCATGTTGGATCTCATGTGATATGAATTCCTTCGATAAAAACCTCAAAGTTTGATGGCAAGCCACGAACTCGTCAACAAATTCAATTGAAGTACGCTACAGACCAGTGTTACCAGATGGCAGACCGGTGTCCACAAGAAACTGCCCCCTCCACTTACATGCGCTAATGCACAGCCACGTATGCATGAACTCTGACGCTTCGTACACATGACTGTGCATTATTGCACGTAAGGGAGGGGCAATTTTCTCTAGACACTGGTTTGTCATCTAGCAATCTATAATGGTTGCCACATTGACGATGAAGAAAACATGCACACGTGACAATAAATTTTTTAATTTTTCGCACATTTATAAAACAATTCTCTTCTTAAATAAGTAGAAATTTATTTATTAGAAAAATGTTATTTTGAATAAAATAATTCTGAAACAAAGAATAATTTAACGTTGCAAATTTCGGACATTACTGGTGGCAATATTGTAGCGAGCACTTCAGTTTTCTGTTTGATTTTGACTTGCAACGCTAACCTAAAATACGTTCGTGTTCTCAAATTGTTGTACGCGTTACAACAATATTAGTTACATTTCTGGAAAATGACAGAGAAAACAAAGACAATGAGTCACGTGAAACATATTCCAAAGGACGCTCAAGTTATAATGTCAATAATGAAGGATATGGGAATTGCGGATTATGAACCAAAGGTTATAAATCAGCTACTTGAATTTACGTATCGTACGTACTACATATTCACAATCTATTCAAATTTATAGACATTTCGTTGAAAATAGAAGTAAATATACTTCTCGCATTCATTTATCATTCTTTAATAATTATACGAAACGGCTTATGAAATGATCTGTTTACAATCCATAGGTTATGTTACCTGTATATTAGACGACAGTAGAATTTACGCTAATCATGCGAAAAAGAAATTCATCGATTTGGATGATGTTAGATTGGCAGTCAAGATGCAGTTGGAACGTACTTTTACGAATCCACCGCCGCGAGATGTTCTATTAGACGTTGCTCGGACAAAAAATAATATACCACTTCCATTTGTTAAACCAAGCAATGGCTTGAGGTTACCACCTGACCGATATTGCTTAAATGCTACAAATTACAAGCTTAAAAATGCAACGAAAAAACTACTTGGAAAACAACTACACTCGTTAGTTGGAAATAATATTCAAGGTGGTCAATCTAAGCTAAAAGTAGAAGGGAACAAAACTGGTCTTTCCATTGTTAAACGACCAGGAACACTTGCAACAGTTGCTAGAACACAAACTATTTCAATACCAAAGCCTGTGTTGAAATTTTCAACAGGTACGTTCTACCCATAGGTATAATTAAAATCGTATAAAACAATAAATCTTTGTTGATTCATAGATCCCTACAGAATCCTGCATTCCCAAACGTCCGTTCCTTCTATCCATATTTCATTGAAAACTCAAATGTGTAAGATTCAAATTATTTAAGAAGCAATAGTAAAATGGACTATTGTAATTTTTATTATTTATTTACACAAATTTTTTATAATTATAGCTGCCTCGGGAACAGCTACGGTAAAGGCACAAGTAACTAAGCCAAAAATACAAATCACATCGGGCCAAACAATGCCTCCTATCAAAGCAGAAGAAGAATCTATGAAAAGGAAGAGAGAAGACGATGATTACGACGTACCATAATAATAAACAATAAATGCTCAAGATGTTTTCATTCTATATTTTATGTTTTTATTCGTTGAAACAGTGTTCTATCGTGCACTGCCGCTGCTACTTTGATCTATACCGTACGACATACATCCAATAATTTTAAACGTGCATACCTTCCTACTATTAATGCCACATTTTAAATGAAATTATATATTTTTGATTAAGAAAAGTAATATATATAGTCTATCTAATGAACCTAGAAAATTATGTACATCTTATAACCTCTTAAGATTTTGTACATAGTATATTTTAAAGAAAACCCGAAAGTGCTTCTCATTATTTCGAAAGTTTAAATATTTGAAAATAACGGTAGAATTTATTTAAACAGTATTTGAGACCGCATAAAACTAGACACTTTATCGATTAATATTTACACTAAAGTAGAATAACGTACTCATTCCTGAGCTTCGTATCCTTCATCTTCCTCTTCCGCCGCTGTTTGTTCCCCATCAATTTCCTCTTCCGTCGCGTAGTCTGGGGACGATGCACGAGTGTCAACACCAGGTTCGCCTTCCTCGACTGCATCCTCATCTTCCGCCTCGTATTCTGTTACGTCCGGAGGTTCAGTTTCATCCTCCTCTTCCTCTTCTTCGTCGTCCTCTTTAACCTCAATTTCGTCAGCCTCCTTTCCCAAAGAAACAGCTTCATCTTCGATTAATTCTTCCTCTCCCAATGCTTCCTCACCCTCTTCGTCCTCGGGTGCATCGCCTGCATCGAATGGAGGTGGTTCCTCAGCTTCGACCTTTGCTTTTCCCTTATCCTTTGGTTTCACGTCTTCCTCTCTAACACATTTCTTCCGGTGAATTGGCAGGAAGAGCTTGAAGTCTTCCGGTAGCTCGCTTTCCGGGTAAAGTCTATTGGATCAAGTACAACGTGAGTCATTTGAATATTAATATTTAAAATAAAGGTTGAAAGTATACAAAATTTACCGTAGGACATAGAAATTTATTGAATTTTTTAAAATAAATAATTTTAATGATTATATCGCGCACCTGTCCGCGAAATAAATGCGTCGAATCCTGCAATTCGCGTGGATTTGCAGGCGCGTGGTCTCGATGTAATTCGTGCCGTACGCTCTTCGCGTGAAATCCGCCAGATTAAATTGAATTTGATTCCAACCACCGGACAGCCCGATCGGCATCGATGTGCTGAAGGGTCTGATGCGGGTGGTGCTTTGGAAATTGCTCATTCGGAACCTCCTGTGCATGTTCTTGTCGTCGAGTATCTATCGGGGCGAAAACAATGCATACTTCTGGCGCGAAGCGATCCGAAGTGCCCGTTACCGAGACACCGTTATCGAACTTATAAAGGGAACAATGAAAAAATCGATTTAGTCGCGATGGGATTTACTGTTATCTCGAACGTGAAGTATTTCTTCATGTTCTTCACGATCATGATCAGAAAGGGAAGCCGAATGCCGAGAGATTTCTTCGGATTTGGGGGAGAAAATATGTAGGTCGTCGTGACGTTCGTTCCAGCCAACTCCAGGGCCAACGATTTCACTTCCTCGTCCGTCACCCTTCGAATGTAACCGTTCTTCACCTGTTCAAAATTACCCTCCCTGTATTTCCTTAACGTGAAATCGAATATACAAATAAGATCAAATAAAATTAAATGAACGTAGTCAATAGGAATATTCTTCGTTTTACTGGCCAATTACGTTTATTGATTGCTCTTTGAAGACTCAATCTTTTTAAAATACAAAGAGTACGGTAATACGATTATAATAAATTGAGAATAATATATGATAATAATATACTTTAATAAATTGGAAAACAAACAGAAAAAGAATATTATCATGAAACACAACTTACTGAGTTAATGAGTCCATGTGATTTCAGATAGTGGGCTTTGTTTTTCGTATGATCTACTTTATTAATCTCTATAATGTTACAGATGTCACTGTTTTGTTCGTCTTATGTCGTCACATTACCTTTTGAGATTTAAGAGATGGGCAAAATTTTTGTCTACATAATACAATTTTAATAACGCTGAGAAATTTAATAACACAAGACTATTTGTATCGTTGATTATATACATTTTGCCAACAATGGCGCGTAAGTGCTAAAACGTCAAATCGTTTTCATCGAATACGCGCACAATTACAAATAGTTTTCTGGGTATTTTTAAAAAATAAAAACTTTCTTCTTTCGATAACCGTGCAATGTGTATTTGTTCCACAGAAAAACTTACGCGCATGTCCCACAATTCCAACGGCGCCGAGCCACAGCTGTACAAAACGGACAAGAGTCCATGCTGGTACTTGTTACGAAACATCGTGCTCTTCCGTCCGTGTTTGAAACACGTATAACAAGCGGACACTAGTAATAAAATATATCAAAGCATGTCGTACGCGTCGTTATTTAGCAAATGTCAAAAGGTAACCGTTCAAAAACTGTTCTTTGTTTCGCCCGTTGTCGGATCGAGTTTGTTTTCTTTCGCGCGCGTAACTTTCGCGGATAAGAAATATACAAATACAGTTTTATGCAACGTACAAATGTGGTTTTATTCGTTCGTGCGTCGATACAATCGTTTTACAAGTACGACGAGATTTATGCATTATGCGTCGGGAAGAGTTCGTTGATGCGACGTCTCTCGTTCGCGGTTAGCAAATCGGGGACGATCAATGTCTTCGGTGGCATCCCGACGCTGAAGACACGATCGATTCTGACGCCATCGATGGCGAACATCTGCATCATCGCGAAATGCATAACATCGCGGTTCAGCTGGCGCCTGATCTGCTTCTTGATTCTTTGCACGCGACGACGGCAGATCACGTAACTTTTAACAAAATTGTGCCATTCGTCGATCATTCGCGGTGCAAGCCAAACACAGAGTGGCATAACCAACGATTCTCAGGGCCACTGCTCGAATTTAGGATCATTTTGAGCACCTATACCAGACTTATGTTAGATCGAAAGCCTTTCTATCTCTTTTTTGTCATATTTTTAGCCTGGAGTAACATTGAAATCGCATTGTATATTGAATATACGTTAGTTGTGCCACCGACTGGAAAATTTGTGCGAGGACGTCGATGAAAAATCGATTAAGGATGAAATTATTCTTACTAGGGCAGATTCGTAAGGCCCGTGTAACTCGGGTGGATCGAGACGTCGCTCCTGTACAATTCTGGATACATTTTCATGTGTTTGGTGAGGTACTTCCTGCCGCGCGATTTCTTCTCAGGCTCCCCTTCCGGCGGAGACTCTTGCCCTTCCTGACGTTCCGCGTCATTTTCCTCTTTCGTTATCGCTGTGTCCGCGATCGTTTCCTTTCCTTCCTGGATCTGATCAGACATCGTGACATGCAACTGTGGAGAGACACAGAACTATTGATTTCCTATGAGCGCGTCTATCAAAGATATTTAACGTTTTCACTTCGTGACTACAGCTTACAGATACGATATATACGATATTCGAGCAATTCGATACCAAAGCATTCGTCCCGTAAGTTCGTGCCAAATTTTTTACTAGAATTAGACAAATTTGAAGTCTTTTTTCATTCGATAACTCCCATTTGTTGTTCGCTAAAAAGTGTTGCAATACGTTGTTACATCAGAAATTTCTTTAAAACATCGAATACCAAATTCGAGAGCAGAAGAATTCAATAGTTCTCGAGCACCCATCGTTGAAACCGTCTTAAAATAGTTTCAAAGCGCACTGCTTGGAAAAACAAATCGAACGAAGTGTCGATACGCGTTTCCTTGTCAAGAAGATCCTTTTCTTCGACCATCCCACCGTTTATTCGGATCACCGCGGAACTATTTGAATGGCAAAACACTCCGAACTCTCGAATAAATCAATAACATTCTACAAGTGTGTTTCGACTCGAAGCTAACAAATCTTTACGAACCAGGAACGAGTTGACAAATAGTAATATTCATTCGGAGCACATTATATCTATATTCAGACTTTGCGTGGGATCACGGCTCGAAAAACAATAAAACAAACGACGCCATTAACGGCCGTGTCCTTCTTCGTCGACCACGTGTTTTTACTTTTCGCGAAATGGAACGATTCTATTCCGTCAGCCCGATAAAATTGTTAAATCCCCGTGGAAATTTGACCGCCGCAATTTCACTTTGTAAAACTATCCTCGAACGAAATTATAGGCTTCGAACGTAGTCGAGTATACGTATGTAAGTACTTGGAACATTCTACGTTTTAAACTACTCCGGCGATATAATGCGACTGGCTGATTAAATTTTTATTTTCACAGTTGCACGAGTTACTCACGAGTAAAGGTGTACGGAAGATTTAGGATCGAGGCTGCAGGAAGTGGCTCGTGACGATGACGAGAGCCTGTACTGGCGAATTTTTCAATCGCGTATTCACTTTGCGCGACCGACGAATACGGCCCGTCACTCCGTCGATCCGACGAAAGTTGGCCGATCTGTAACGAAGTGAGCCCCTGTGCCTCGTACGGCTATCGATTTGGTTTCCAGGTGAATCAATAGAGAGATTCGGTTCATTCTTATTTCGATGTATTGCCTTCATGCACGTCGAACCATCGCGCAGCCATTAATCCGCGCTAATTAGCTGGCTGCGAGATGATTACCGTGTAATCTCAGGAATTTGCGGACGGAACCAGGTGACTTCGAAATGAAACTCGCCGAATGATCTACGATTTCCCCTTTACTTCGCGAGCAATATTATCAGCGAATGTATTAAACCGTGTAGCGCGTGCGATAAATCAAACGTTTCTTCGTTATGTAGGGTGGTACGCTCGAGGCAGAATATCTGAATACTCTTTTCCAGTTTTGAAGATATACGTAAACGTACGACCCAATTTGTACGACTTTAAGCATCGGATATTTCGCGAAATGAAATTTTTACTCTGTGTCAATTTTCCAGCTTTAAATGTCAATTTGTATTTTCAGAACGAACATTATGAATTAACCTGCATTTTTATCGAGCACGATTTTAGGAAGGATCGAAATGGTCTTTTCTTTTTGTCTAATATACATCGTTTTACATAGTTTCGTAGAATTTTTTTAAATTCTGAACACCGGAAGAGCATAAATGTTAGTTCAAAGATTAAGTGCCGTCAGTGAAGTAAGAGGTATTAATGAATTCCGCTTCTCAGAAAAATGGCTCTTCTGTAAACCTGCATTTTTCATTTACTTTGACCCATTTTCCCAGAGTCTAAAAAAGCAAACTTTATGAAACTTTGTGTGGTGAATCTCAGGAAGACAGTGAAAGTACTGAATTAGGAATTTTGAGATTAACACCTACGTTTGGAAAACAACAATTATCGTTCGTAATATCACTTTTTGAACGTGTCGTGTAGCCAATTTACTTATTACTACCGGTTGAATGTTTGGATAAAATTGAAATCCCTTTATTGGTTTGGGGAAAAATGGGTCACGAAGGTCGACAATTTTCCATATAGATAAAACTCGATTGCAAGCTTCCTAAACGTAACCAACGATGTTTCGAAAGAAATAGATTTCACGTAGTATTTGAAGTTTTAGTATCAAAATTAAGCGTAAACAATATTGCGTATTACTTAATTTGTCTAAATTACTGTTTGCTGATTAATTTTTCGGTTTATTAAGACACAGGAAGAATCGCGTGTCTCATCCTTCTGTATTATTTTTGATGTTAGTGGACTGAACGAAATTTTGTTTATCACAGATGACATGGTTCAGCCAATCCTTCGAGGCGATCAGATTAAATTTGGTATGCTTCTTTGCTTCTATGTGTTTTCGATATTTTCACTACGATCTTCGAGTTACCTTGAAAGAATACTAACAGGTACCGTCCGGTGATGTCATATTCAAGGTCATTTTTTATTTATTTACAATCTTTATTACACAAAATGTCAGAGTTGAAGTAGAAAATGAAAAAACAAACGAAACAGGCCTTATACGTAAAAATTTTTGTAAGGGTCAAGGTGCAGCTGAAGCGTTGTTATTCAAATCCAACCTCGTTTAAAGGTCATGTTGTTATAGATTGTTGAATTTGACTAAAACATCCTGCATTCTGTACAAAAGGAAAAATATATAAATAAATCGATGAAAGAGGATTTCAGATTCATATAACCACCTTATGCATCACGTTCATCCATTTTATTTATGCTTATGTAACTCTCGAATTACGAGAGATGATGAAAAATGTTTCAAATAAAAGTTTTAAATTGCTAGTCTCTGGAAACAGCACAACTTTTATTTGGAACATTTGATACATAATTTTTGTCATTAAATTTTCTTCATCTACTTAATTTACCTTCTCAATTAAAATGCACAGTATTTAAATATATGCCTATATAATACTAATATTTCCAGCCCCGTTGTCGAGCGGCACGCATGGCATAAGGATTTTTGTTGCGACGGGTACGCAAACGTGACCGTACCGTGAATGCAGAGAACGAATTTAATTAACGTGCGCCGTACATACTCCATTGAAACCGCGGTGAGAGCTTCCTCGCGTGCTATTGTCCGACGAAATAGACGCCAGGCACGAAAGATATATTTACAAGGGGAAATATCGGGACGGGGAGGGAGCCTCGGCTCGGAACGACGGCCCCATTACACGATGCTCTCCAAACTGATCAAAATCGAGTTACAGTTACGCGGGATGACGTTAACAACGTGATTACTTCATCGATTACGCGGTGCATCAATCTTGTCAGCCTCGTAAACGCGTACGTAGGTGGGCATGTCGGTCGATAAAGGTTGCCACGGTTCGGGCACGAAGTAGAATTTCATTATAATTCCAAAACAACGTGTACTTCGTCCCAACCGAGGATTCTATCGATGCCCGTCCGGGTAATTGCATTCCCGGTAACCGTCGCTGTGCAAACTATCCTAGTTACTTGAATTAATTGACCATCGAGGCGGGGAGGGGGGGGGTGGGAAAGGGGGCAGGACAGTCGCGACGGAAAACAAAGAGCAACCTCGGTCGCGACGACGAAAATTCAAATCTGGGGAAGCACGACGGTTACGGAACGGTTTCGTTGGTACTGCTCGTGCGTGATTTTTGTCTCGACCAATTGAAAGGCGGGACCAATGGAAGATACCTGCCATGAGCCACTGTCAGGGTCGATGCTAATTACTAGTCGAAACAGACAGGAAATGACTTCTAATCTTGATAGAGCCTAATTGGAATCCCCCTCATATCGCATAAAAAACTTTATCGTGTCTCGATAGCATTGAAAATAATTTAGGGGTTATAGCAAGATGAAGCTCCATTTTGGGGTACTTGAAGTAAACAACTAAAAATATTGTTTTGTTAAAAGATCTTTCTTCCTAAACTTACTTTCTTCTGGAATAATTGGGATTAATCGGTGAGATAGTGTTATTCGCGTATGTTATTGTAAGCTTACTGTAGCAAACAACTAGACTTTCTCCATTTGAAATTCATGTAAAAGCTTGTTTGCTGTTCCATGGACTATTGTATCAGCATCCTTCTTGAATATTTGACACGAGAAAATCCCACTTGAATTCCGTAATGGAAAAGCGTTTGATATTTAGCTTCTCGTAAAAATGAATCACCAACAATCCCAAACACATGCATCGTTATCTATAATTCCAATTTACCAGTTTCCTTTCCATGCAATATTTTAATTTAGAAAATGGCGAAATGTTTACATTCGAAACCAACGATTCCTCAGTACCGTTTCCCAAACAAAATGTCTGAAATTCCCTCGGGGACCCGCGGAACGCTGCATTCTGAAAATTTCAGTGGCCAGTGGGTGCCGAAAATTTTCCACCGTCCTCCCTCGTCGATTATTCGGCCCCGCGACCGTGGCCTCGTAACGCAAACACGTTTTCATAATTAAATATTACGTTTCTCTTCTCCACTTTCGAGGCGCCCCGATGCATCCACGCAAAGCCGGCTCTGGTCACAGTAACCATGCTCGAATTTATTGATATTTTCCAGAGAGTTCAGGCGCGAACGGAGAGAGACGGTTGCGCCCTGCGAGGGTTGGCGTCCAAGAGGGCGCGAGGAAGACACACAGAGGAGCAAGAGGGTGCGCAGGAGGCTCCGTCACGCCCGCATGCTCAACGTGCAGTCTCCTCCGGGTGTACAGCTGATCGCGAGTTCCGGAAGAACCGACGCGGATCGTTTGCACGCGCATGTCGAGACATCGAGGCGATCCATCCGCAGCCAATTTCCACCCCGTTCGCGTAACGATGTCGCGGTGATAATCGTGCGAACCGTTTCGGAGAACGCGAGTAACGTTTTTCGTGCGTTCATCCCCTCCCCCTCCCTTCCCTACCCTGTCATCCTTGATCTTCGTTCATTCGTGGCCGGTGCCTGTTCAGTTTCACGTGCAGAGGGTACACGCGAAAAGAGGAAAAAGCCATCGAGGGACGCGGCGTGCGATCGCCGGATGTCGTTGGACGCCGAGACGTCGTCGTCGAGGGAGGGTGGACCAGAAGAGGACGCCACGAGACGCATCCAGCGATAAGGAAGCTCGATCACAACGAAAGACTCGTATGATGGCCAACGAAAGGATACAGCGACCCTACAGGTGCGTGGTACCGTGACATTCTAGCTATCCTCGTTCGGAACATTTACTCCCAGACAGTCGATGTCTAAATCTGTTCTATATAAGTACTCGTGTATTGTAGGAAGAAGGACAGATCGGTCCAGACTTAACCCTTTCGAACCGGTTGGTAACACGTTTAGACGTATTTTTATATTAGCTTTTGCCCGCAGTTTTTTATTCTGTGAATGGTGTTTTCTTATGCAAGCTATTAGATCAGCATTCAGCATCTCGGCCTAGGAAGACCAAGGGGAGGCTTGTTAAATACGATGTTTATTTTGAATATTTCTGAAACATTGTTTGGACTCGTAGGGAGAAGGAGAGATTAGTTCGGGTTCAATCGTTTCGAAAACTCGCGTGTACAGTGGTACGAAAATTTATCGATTAAATTTTGAGACGTACAGCATGATGTACTTTGTATTAGCTTTTGCCTGTAGGTGCGACCGTACGCGTAGTGTTTTCTTGTGCAAGTTGTTAGAACAGAGCCCTAGGAAGACCAAGGGGGTTCTTGTTGAGCTCATTCGACGATAAATATTTCCTAAATATTTTTTATTAAAATTTTTATTCAATCTAGACAGTCGTTTTCGACACGAGGACTCGTTCTACACGGATACTCGTGTATTCTGGGGAGAATATTATTTCCGAATCTGACAGGAGCGCAGTGTAGGATAATATTTGAACCCTTTGCACTCCGAGTATGCCTCCGAGGCATAGTCTGGTGATCCACTTTCAAGTATGCGGCTCAATGCTCTCTATTATCGACGCTACCTACAGATTCTCGTAAATATTTAGTGAGCCAGTGAAAGATACTTTCACATTTAAAAATAGTCTTATTAACGTAGTACAGAAATATATGTAGGATTGGAAAGGGTTAAAGTAAATAATTTCGAGATGCACAAAACGATTGATAAATGTATTTAGCGTGGAAGGTGTTTAAGTATGTTCTTAGGTATAATAGTAAACTGATATATTATTATTTTGTCATGTTTATTACTCTTAAAATACTTGTCTTTGACGATTATTTGCCAGTTACGAACATGGAAAACGTAGGTGGGCTCGAGGAGTTCTCCCCTTGGTTTACGATTCAGCCATTCCTAGGGTTAACGTAGTTTTTCATTCGAATATGAAATTAAACTTATGATTTCTAGATTTAGAGAATAAAGAAATGTATATGTATGTACAGTGCGTAGGTAAAGCGAACCTTTAGCAATTTTAAAACGACAAGAAAATATGCTGATTTCGTTTTTATTTTCGTAATGGCGGATAGCCAATATTCAAACTGGAAGATAAGCTATATAACAATGAAAGTTTAATCTAAATCGGTCCACTGGTTCTCGAGTTTATCCTATACAAACGTACATACATACGTACAGATACACAACATCCAAACGAACTAATTTCTATAGTAGTGTATAGCACAGATAGTAGTTGACCATTTATAGTTTCAAAAATCATCTTTCCCGATATGTTTTACATCGTACGCTCACAGTTTCACCGAAGTTACTTGTAAAATAATTATTAGTTAGCAAAACTTGGGCGGAAAACGTAAATTTATTGGGAGGAAGAGAAATGTAAACACTGTCGAGTAATTTTTATATGAAACGTAATATAAATTTATAAAGAATGTTCTTGTAATTAGAGAAGCTTCGTCAATTACAAGAATTATCATTTGTACGTTTAACGGAGAACAATTGCATTTAAGACTTCCTCGCGTGCACGTTGGTTGAGAATAGCATACATTTATGCCACTGGCATAAATGACGTAATTGGTGACTGTGTCCGGCCAGATCGTGGCTGATTTATTGATTTCCATTAAGTATTATTGCCGGAATGGCTCGTTTATAGGGCAATCGATTACGATCTACTTTGTACTTTCATGTGTATACACGTTAACTTCTTGTTGTGCTAGGTTTTAAACGTTATTGCGTACCTTGCGCGAGTTTAGTGGCTTTTGAAAATGGCTGAGTCGTGTCTGGCTCGACGTTCGTACACGGATCATCAAACTCTTGCACAATGTTGTCCGAGATCTCGTTAAAAGTTTAATTCTATCGTTTTGAGAAATTTCGTGATAAAATTACGCGGTATAATTTAAAAAGCTCTGTTCCATTGTATATTAATAATTGGTAAATTCTTCACGAGAAATTCGATGGCATTGACAGATTAATGAAGCAGAGAAACGAGGCTAATAAACGCTGGAATCTGATCGATTCCTTCCACGCATCCTTTGAAGCTTGCAAGCGAACTGTGAAAGAGAAATCAGTATGAAAATAGAACCAGATTTAACTACACTACATGGACTCGCATATTTACACTCAATTTTCAAAGCAAACCCAGCAATTTCTAACGACTGCAATAGGCAAATTACAAATAACACGAAGTGTAAATTGAGCAGAATTTTACTTGAAAGCTTGTCAAGTAAAAGATACAGGCAACTTTAATATTTTTGTTATCACTTTTCAGATCGTTTATCGTACATTACTTCTTATTTTAAAATAATTAATAATTAATTAATTTCCACTCACTCTTGTGTTACTTCCTGAAAAGATATTAGTCCGTTTATAGTTGCGACAGAATTTGTTGCACGCGATGTGTGCGGCCTTAGGTGAAATTCGTGAAGTGACATGCGGCCTTCCGATGCTAAAAGCTTCTCCATCCTTGGTTTAAACGCCATCCTCGTTGTTGTACACATATAACAAGCAATCAACCTTTACACTTTGACTGTCTAATTTTACCTTGCTTGACTCTCTCTTTCCTCTTTGTACGTTACTTCCTTTGTGTTTTCTCTCTACTATCATTCCATGCTTTTACACTCCTTACGATTCATTTCACACATTCCCAGTCGTACGTGGACAATTACATATTTAAAAAAAAAATACAAATTACACATTTGTAATTTAATTTCTCAAAATACGTCAGATAATACGCGGGGAATATTAAAAATTAAAAACGGTTCTCTATATTGGGCCAGTGGTGTAGTTTATATCGTTCAATAAATAAAGGAAACGATCAAATTTTAAAGCGACGTTTCAGTTTATAAGAGTTAATATTGTCGTAACTAGTATAAGGACTTCTTAGAGATCGAAAGAGGCCAGGGACCACTTAGCATATAATTAGTTTGAAGATATCGATCAAACAATTAATGAAACCATGTCTGGAGTCAGGATAAGCATGCTGGGCACGTCGTACCGGCGAATAAACTTGGGACGTTTAAAAAATATCTTTATAAGAAAAACGTAAAAGAGTAAAATCTGGGCAGAAAGTCTTGTCGCGAGAGAATTTTTAAAATGTCTCTTTTATTTTGCGTACACTTTCTTAATGCATTTTAAGGTTCGTATATTAAACAAATTTCTATTCTGTGTAAGAAATAATATTCTTGGTACGAAATGCAGTATTACTACGGTTTCTTTTGGCCGGAGACATTTTCCTGTCGGCTAAGAGCGTCCTATTTTATTTCCTCGTCACAGCATGTCTCTTGTCGCTCTTCCGCGACAAAGAGGAACATGTTACAACTAATGGGGGTATATTTCACCCCTTTGTCGATCTTCACGCTGCTATTGAAACCTCTATGCATCGTACATTGTCGATACTTTCTTGTTTCATCGACCCTTAAGTGGATTATCGGGGGCCTCTGTAAGTTTGAACTAATAATTGTTTTCTGCGTGTCAATATTATGTTTCGTTATCTTATCATGGTTCGAACGTGACCAAGGATACTTGATTTTCATTTATCAATGGGTTTATCGATCACAAACGTCCCTATCGAGTAACCTAAACGACCCACACTGTAATATAGTCTAATCAGTCTATGATTCGAGAGCCTCCTGCGCGATCGTAACGTCAGATAATTTATTTTTTAAGAACAACTTTACCAGTTCCCGGTCACTCGGAAGTAAATCTCTGTTCAGTGCTGTCACTGGGCAAAGATCTGAGCAAGATCACCATGCCGGTCGTCTTCAACGAACCGCTTTCCTTCCTCCAGCGGGTCGCCGAGTACATGGAGTACGCTAAACTGCTCAAGCAAGCAGCCCAAGAAGAATCTCCGATCGGTAGGATGCAGGTGAGACCAGTCGATTTTTACACAGAACACCCAGTATATCGGAACGATAGCAAATCTACATCGTCGACGTTGCAGTACGTTGCTGCTTTCGCCGTGAGCGCTTTGGCCTCAAACTGGAAAAGGCTTGGCAAACCCTTCAATCCGATACTTGGCGAAACGTACGAGCTGGAGCGCGAGGACTTCCGGTAAGCATCGAGGCGTACGAGTTATCGAGCCGTCGCAGAGTATCTTTCAAATTAAAAAACTGGAAATCAACTTTTTTATCAACGGATCAAAGTCTTAAAAAATCTTAGTTTATTCACCGAATCCTCAAATATCCTCTTGATAAAATCACTATTGATACTGTCAATATTCCTTGGCGAAGTTTCCTCGTGAAATATACGGATCAAGCTTCTCCTGGGTGATTAAGACTTTGCAGAAGCGGCATTCGAGCGGAAAAGTTAAATTACCGATGAAATCGTTGCTCTTAATAAGTTGAGAATTAAGGAAAGATTAAGAGAGGTCTTATTCAATTCTGGGTTCGTAATCAGCCACCCAAAAAATCCCCGAATAGCAAGAGGGTTTGTAAATAGTATCAGAACTCGGTCTGTGAGAGTCTCAAACGTTTTAAAGAATTAATTACGCAGGATGCGATAATCTTTGCTTCAGAATAATCTGCGAACAAGTATCGCACCATCCACCGGTGTCAGCCTTCCACGCCGATGACGAGGACTTTGTGTTCCACGGCACTATACATCCAAAACTGAAATTCTGGGGCAAATCGATCGAGATACATCCAAAAGGCATCGTCACTGTCGAACTTCCCAAGTGAGTGGGCCGGATATTGCTTACGTTGCGTTTTAATTCCCGTCCGTATCGCAAACACTCGAAAATCGAGAAGAAACAGTCATTAAGCGTAATGGCGCACGTTTAATCGCAGATGGAAGGAAGCGTACACTTGGCAGAACGTCAACTGTATACTTCATAACGTGCTGGTGGGCCAAGTATGGATGGAGCAGCTCGGCTGCATCGAGATCAAACAATACGGCGGCGCAAATTACAAGGCGAATCTTTCCTTCAAGAGTGGCAGCTGCAACGGGAAGGACCTTCATCGAGTCGAAGGCTTCATAACGGATCAAGAGTAAGCTGGTAACAGTTTGTAATCACTTGCACAGCGAACAGCATGGCAAAGTCCCTAAAAATTTCACCAAAGTAGCGTATTCGTGAAAATTCAAAACGATGTAAAAATATAATTTAATATGCACTAAAATATCAGGTCACTGGATTGTTGTTTATTTGTTTGGTTGACAAATATGGTGTGATTACAGACAGCCAACACCGATTAATAAACTTTTTCTGCTCAGTAAGAAGAAGCTGTTGTTCCTCTATGGAAGATGGACGGACAGGATGAAGGTGTGCGATCCTATGCTGTACGAAGACGCTCTGGAAAGGGTGAAACGAGAAGCAAAGAGTCCTCAGGGTAGTCCAGGACCCAAGAAAGTATTGGCGAAGCTTAACAGTCTTAGGGTTGGAGCCTTCAAGCCGTCCCATCAGGTATGCAGCTGCTTCTTTTATGTTCGAATTTTTCATGACTGCTTTTTACTTAACTTCATTCGTCGAATAAAACGAAAGTACCACGAATAAGAATTTTACAACCTAATTCAAAATTAGATACGCGAATAAATATGAATTCTTGTGTAAAAAATGTAAGGTAAAGTTGAAAGCGACGGAATAATAAAAGAAGCTTTCGCGATCTTTTTAAACGCGAACGCGCCATTTGTACGAAATTTCTTCTTTGAATATACATGGAGCGAGCAATTAATTATTCATAATTAAACCGCGGCAGGGGACTTGAAATGTTAATTTTTTTTGTTTTTACTAATTGCAAGCACCTTTCGTGACTATTCACCGACATACTGTAGCACGTAGATCTCTATTCGGGGACCTTGCTCCACTTCCACAGGTGATTATTTCGAAAACGAAATACATTTTATTCTCAGGATTAGATCTTTATAATCCGATAGATGTATCGTCGTTCGTTAAAATTCTGCCTGTTCCACATCTCTCGTTCGTACGGATTTCAGGCTGAAGGAGTTTTAGTGAAAGGTATATGTATGCCATAGCACAATAGCTCTTCACTGGGATTTTTAATAAAACAGAAGATGTTCGTTTTTTAGCTAAGATATAAAAGTTGAATAAATTATTACTCATATCAAATTTGTGTGTTTGTTTAAGGACGCGATCGACGATCCATCCGCAAGTATAGACGGAGACGACGCTCCAACGATCGACGATATTCCTGGATCCACCATCCTTTGGGAAGTCGCTCCAAGACCGGCCAGTAGTTCAGACGTGAGTATGTCGAATATAATCAACGAAACAACTATTTTCATCGAGTTTCTTGTTCAATATATTCGGATGAATTTTCAGTATTACCAGTTCACGACGTTCGCGATGTCGTTGAACGAAATGACACCCGACATGGAGAAAATTATATGCCCGACGGATTCTAGACTGAGGCCGGACATTAGGAAATTGGAAAATGGAGATCTAGAGGTGGCTGGAGCTGAAAAAACGAGGCTCGAGGAGAAGCAACGGAACAACCGCAAGTCACGGAAACACAAGAAAACTCAGGAATGGACGCCCAGGTAGGAATCACGAATATACGTTCTGTTATTTTCTATTTCAGTTTTTAAGTTGGACCAACACGAACGTTTGTAAACAGTTTTCGTGAAAATAGTGCCTGCTCGCCCGAAACATTTCCTCGCGAGTCGAATTCACGTTTTGCTTTGTTGTCAAGCTGCGTATAAAGTGTTCTCGTGTTTCAAGATAGCAGATAACAAATTATACAGTATGTAAATGCTCCGTGCACCACAGGTGGTTCCAATTAGGCATTAATCCGTACACGGGTCAAGAGGACTGGCTGTACCGAGGCGGATACTGGGACCGCAATTACACCAACATGGAAGACATTTTTTAATAAACACGACGATCCTTGTTTCATCACGGTAAATAACAAACGACAAAAAGGTTGTGCGCTCGCATGTCCTGGCGAGAAGTGGTATTCGTACAAAATTGTCGGCACACCGCGCAGAGAATAAAGCTGATCGCCCTTTGACCTATTGTTTCGATTCTTTATCGTCGGTCGAACGCTATTTTCTAATCGATCCCAAAGAAATCTTGTTGTTTGTGTCACTATTGTAACTATGAATATTAGAACGTAACAGCTTTTACGAGGTGTAAGCATAATTCCAAGAGTGAGAGAAACCGGAAAAGGGGAGAAAATATCCAGGAAATGCGAGTACCAATTTCGAATCCAGTCGGAGCCCTCTGAGACGATCAGTCCAAAACAAAGTTGGGCAAAATTTCATTCGAGTAATGGACAACTTATAAAGCCAACACGGAGCAACTTATTCACTTTGCTATCTGCACTGAACGATAATTATTGGGAAATGTACTTCTATTAGGTTAGAAAGTCCTCTTTCTATTTTTAAAGAATTACCACTCGTCTTTACAAAATCTAGACAATCATATAAGTTTCTATATCAATTTATCTTATTATCCAGCTGCATATATGTTATTATCTATTTCTTTGATTCCAAGTCTATTTTCGTTTCACTATTTAAAATTATATCTTCTAAAAAGTCTGATCTGATAAAAGTACCTTCCCATGGAACGTCAATTATAAAAATCTCCGTTTTTATTCCTGGATGAAATTCGATAGCTCTTGGCCAGGACGCGGCGGGAACGGTTTTGTTTCATCCGGTCGGGGATGAATTACTTCACACAATCGGGATGTATTGTACGCTCGTAGCTAGATTCTCTTTTCAGCGGAACGAGACAAAGCAAGCTTACGCCTCGTTGGTAATTCCGTATGCAGGTCGTACGTGCGTAGTCGTGTGTAGATAAGTAATCATACTCGGGGCGCTCGTTGGTCGAGCACGAACCGAGTAACATAGCGAAAATTCAGCAACGACGAGCGAAACGCGATGTCCACGCGCGAAACTCGTCGCTGTCACGTAGCCTAGACAAGGAATATCGCGCAACAGCGTAGACTAAATAAATAAATAAATAAACCAAAGCCTAGTGATCGATGTCTATGCGTAAAATCCGGCAGCGAGCGAGCCTTTCTCGCGTTATTTCTATGGCGGAGATCCGGACCGTCGAATGCGTTCACGCCATAACACAGTTGGGCAGAGCTCCGGAAACGTGGCCAAAACTCAGTCAATTCACCGATATTCTCAACACAAGTACGATTTAATATCGAGACAAATATGGTATCACGCGTGTAAAATAATATTTAAACATTTCGATGACGGTTGCTTCTCGGTAATCACTGTTACCCATCAATTTTACCTCCATTGGTGTTTTCTTCGAAGATAATTTATTTCTTCTTTTTTTCTGTGTATTATGTATATTGAAATTTATGCGAGAGAAATTGTATTTAAAATTAATATTATTCCGTAAGTAATGTATGCTTATTTTATTCAGAGTTTTGCCGCGTGTAATTTAACCGTCACTGGTACATTTTGAGAATTTTATAATTAAATATTGCGGCCACGTTCGATGGATTTTGTCCCCACCGTGCGCGAAGATAAAAATTTGCACAAAGTCCATCCGTTAGCCGATGTTTGGTGTACATAGCGCGGAGGAACGATCGTCGTGAAAACTTTTTATAAGAAAAACACACAGGGAGAGCCCCCGAAGCGGCGAAACGACTGCACACCGTTCTGTTCGATTCACCCTTCAGGCGCCCAATCCGGGAGTACGCAGCGATCGCATAACTTTTCTCACATGTTCGTTTTTACGAGACGCGTAGCCGCGAGATTCACCTCTGATACTATTTTTATAAAAACTTAGTCCGGCCGAACCGAAGCGAGGCCGGAGCCACTTCTCTGGATAACTGAGACATTTTAGCTTGATGTAGGTTTCTGTACATAACAGCGACTGTATCATACACTTGTATCTAAGTATAATAATTTAGGCCAATTTTACGCACGAAGAGAACGTTATAGGGGCCCCGATTAGCTTGGATAGTCCGCGATTAAGCTTCACCCAACCACGCATCGAACCAGCAATAATAGCAACAGTTAACCGTTTTTCGTCAGCTCATTCGATGCTCGTAGTTTTTCGAGAAACTGTGACTTTGTACAAGTCAATATTTTCTAGTTCTCGAAGATTGTTCCAAAAGTTCTCGGAATCTCTCGGTCTGAAACGTCTCCATTTTTCATTCCACGTGTTCGAAAATTCTTTAACAAACAACCTGTTACGAATATCTTTTCTTCGAGTGAAAAGTCATAAAGACGACTAGCTTTATATAAATATCGTAAATATATTTTTCGAGGCATTATTTTAATAGTCTGGGCCCCCATTCGAATGGACAACGAACGTAAAATCTCAACACTATACTTTGCTTCGATTCTATGCTCCGGTTGTTCCCGAAACTTTTGGAACGACCCTCAGAGACGACTTTTGTTTAGCTTTAAACGCGACAATTGTGATCGTAAAATGGTTTCGTTTTTAAGTAACGCAATTTAGATCGCTCGATTGAAGTCTAGACAATATAAAGCAAGATATTTGATACTCAACGGTGCCAATACGAAACAATAATATGCTAACTGCTCCTTCAGTAATGTATAGCCGTACGTATTTGCGAATCTCTGTCAGCGTAACTTGTAACACCTAGAATTTAGTTCGGCTTATCGTTAACGTGTAACTATCGTCCGACCGTGTTAATGATCACGGTTTAGTAACAATTCGTTTAAACGAAAATATGTGGACATTTAGGCCAGTACAAGTTATAAAGTACATTCGTCGTTTCTGACAGCACACTGATACCCACGACCCACGAGATTTACTGTACGAGATCATTTAAGTGTGTTTGCTTCGTAGATGATCTCGCGTCACGAGAAACCTTAAGGAACATTCATCGTAACCGATATTCGATCAATAGATGTATGTATACACATGTGTATTCGAAGTATGTAGATCCCATTAAGTATTAAGCTAATTGCAGAGTTCCTTTCTCTCATTTTCGACATCTGATTACTCTTGTCAACTTAGAGAAGTTTCATAACATTTGCATTCGTTTCGGTTTATTCAACTTGGCAGATAAAGTTGACATATTTCACAGACTTATTTTATTTGTTCGTTCAGACTTTTCCTTTTTTCTACTGTAGTACTATGCCATTGATTAAATATCAGTATGCTATTGTCTGTATACGAAGTGATATCATGCAAACGTTAGTTAGCATTCATCAGTATTATCGCAAACAGAACAATACGTATGTATTGGACACATATAGGAATTGCCTTTTACGCAATAAACAAAAAAACATCTTTATGCTCCCGCACGACATTACAACGATCGTCCTGCTTATCGCCGTGGACGTGAATTGTTATTAAACTTTAAGAACAGGAATGATAGCTATTCCTTCAAAAGCGCCAATAATATTTGTAAGAGCTGAATCATCGAGCTCTCATGCTGTAGAATATTATTGTATTTACGTTGCATAGACGAGTGTATGTAACTGTACATAGACATATAGATATTAGAAATAAATGTTATAAAGAAACATCTCTGCTTTCTTCGTTAAAATATATAACGTTGTTAGTCTTTCTTCGAATATTTAGAGCTACTTAAAATTAAAGTAGAATAATGATATTTTCTATTTACCGGTAAGTACATTCTTCACTTTCTTAAGAAATATAACTATTATGTATATTAATTTCTTTCCAAAATTAATTATTTCCTTGAAAATATTATTCATTGTCTTAGTAATGGTTAAAAGTGAAGTAAATTGCGCGAGAAGAAAGTGTTTTTCATTTGTTTTTGGACCAAAATGACCCAATCTCAATATAGATATCAATGCCGAAGAAAACTTGCCGTGCCGCCATAAATTCAAAGGAAACTTTGCGCGCCTGTTAGTTCTCTCTCTGCTGCGCGATGGCGCAGCGCACGAACTGTTTTCAATATGGCCGCCTGGCTGTGCCTCAGAAGCGATTCGGAAGGAATCGATCTCGGTTCGGTAGCGGTGAACACGTCGCAGTAATCGTTTCGAAAGTTCTCGCGGTAAAACGTGCGAGTTATTGTTATTCCGGTGATTATATACGAGTGGTGAACTGTGTGTGAGCGAAAAGGAGCACCAGCCTAGGTACATCGATTCGGCGAAATGAGCACCGTACCAACAGGTGAGATCATTGACGCTGTTGTTTCCATTGCGGTTCGTGTATTTGCAACAATGTGTACCATATTTTCGACGTGACAGCGTGCTCGATTAAATCGCGTTCCACGTTCGACGGAATACCGTGTAGAAAAAGACAGGGGAAACAGGATCAATGACACCGTGTGCTTCTGGAGAACGCATTCTAACCTGTATGCAGATTTTTTTTACGATCACTCGCGTTTCGAACAACGTTTGGAACCGTTCCTTTCGTTCCACTTATCGCAACGAGTCGCGATTGATTTTTCACGATAGCCGCGATTATCCCTTATCATCGCAAATTTCGGTCGCCAAACCGGACGGTGTTGCACGGAATTTCGTTCGAAATTTTTACGTTTGACGTTGAATTATAGAACCTTCCGACTTCCGTTTCCTGTTCATTCGGAGCGAAACAAACAATCGGGACGTCGTAACGACGACAATCGTAATGACGCGTTTACAGAACATTGCAATGTGTACAGTTTGAATCATTGTTGTCCTAACCTCTTCAATTGTACGGACAAATACATCGCATAGTGTGCCGGTGTATTATTCGTTTATCATGGCAGACGTTAATTTCATTAACGTAATTAGAATTTGCTCAGTCTTCGTTCGAGACGGAGCATTTTTAACGTAACGTTTCAACGAACGTGGCTCGTATTTATTACACTCCGTTTGACGAACGTGTTACTGTGATATTTTACAAAATTTCGAAGTAAGGAAAATTAAAACATATTGAATGTTTCGTGGTTTGTGGAACATAGTCTGTTCGTTAAAATTTTTGGTTAACTCGGAGAAGTCTTGATTTATGATGTATTACGTGTGACAGTGTCGGGGACTAATAATTGCACTTTATGCGTGGCAAGAACGGATTCACAAGTGGCTGAAAAAGATAACGATTTTAAAATGATGATAGGTAAAGGTCGTATTCGATATCGTTCTGTGTGTGTATAATATATCTGTGTAGTAACATCCGTGTCATTTTATCGCGAATATAGTTATCTCGGTATATCGTTATACACCTCAAAATAAATTCAAATTCTGTTACATATTTTTCCACGTATAACGAAAGACATTGTCGAGCTACCGTTTATCACGTTTCTCTTGTAATTTATTCAACAATTGTTTCATGAATATATTTGGTAGGCTAAAAATACATAGTTATATATTTTCAGTATTTGAAAATTCTGAAGAATTATTAGACACAATATTTATAAGAACAGCATCTGGTATTTCAATGCACACTTTTCAAATTTATCGCGACAAGATAAACAGTGTTCACTATTCTTTTGTAGTAATAGGTAAGTTTTACGAGTTCATGATATTAGAAATTAACGTCAAAATATATTCCCAGAAATAAGTTTTCCTCCGAATAAGTTTTCCTCCACTGTATATTTGCTTTGGAAAGTCACGTAAAGCTATTAGAAGTTCCAGAGTCCCAGGAGCACTATAGTACGCAAAATTACTAGATTACTCAAAGTTGTAAGCGAACCAGAACTATTTTCCAGAATAATATTATATCGTAGTTCGAAAGAGGTAGTTACAAATTGCTAAGACTGCCATCTTTTGTTACTTTTGTTCATTTATGCATTTCTTCTTTTCAAACGAATTATATCGTACATACTTTATGTATCTTTTTACTTCCAGATAAGAGCGAAGATAATCGATCGTGATTTCTTTAATTAAAAATTTATTTCGGGATGTAAACAAAATACGGAGCTCAAATGATTAGGCTCGTATGGAAAGCAATTGGCCCAGCTGAAATTCTCGTATTTTGACCAAGCCTATTTTTACAGCTTGCGTCAAAGAGTTCTAAACCTTGCTTTCGCCATAGCCACGTGTTTTATCTTTCACGCTCCAGCGGCCTCGTTTATGCAAGAGTCTTCCTGCCTCGTTGACAGTAACGGTCTCATTATTTTCAATGTAAATATTTTCCGTCCTTTCGAACGTGACTGCAAAAGATCGACGAGGGGGGAAAAGGTATCGTCGACGGATTTACGGAAAGATCAGTCTACCGCGAATCGACCCGAAAACCGGATACCGATCTTTATGCCTTCGAGTCACGAAACCGATCGTGCAGCATTGGCAAATGACTCATCGGTTATCGTGGTTCGAACCAGTTCGCATAATTTGTATCTAACAGACAATCCCGAGGAGAAAGTTTCAAAAGCTGACTCCGTTCGTATCGTGTTCGCGGAAATCGCGTCTCGCGGTCGTTCTGGTTGCAACGTTATATCGACGACGAAAAAATTATGCGGACACTCGTACACTCGCCACAACGGTAAAATAAACTGCCACGACCGTCGTTGCTTCACTCGATCGTTATTTAATAACGAGTGATCGCGATAGGTAATACGATTTTTCGTTACTTGTGAAAATTGTGTCGCGGTTTATAGTCGAAGTTTCGGAGCTTCAAAGTCGAGGACTGCGGGATTCACAGTCAGTTTCACGTGAATGCACAAACGTGCTTGTTATCGTTAGACCGTAAACGATCATTTAATTTCAAGTAGTCAAAGTAACGGCGCTGTTTTGATGGCTGACTATAAATATCGTTTGCACAGTTGCGGTTTACGCTGTTGATACCACTGATATAAACGAGCCGATATCGCGATTTATCTGAATATACTCGATACCGTTAACTTTCTCGATTTTTCTGCGCCGAAGTTAATCGAGCTTCGTATTTTCGTACGATCGAACACGCGAAAGAATAGATAGAAGAATTTCTCTTATAATAATTAATTCGTTTATATACAGGGTGTTCGGTCCCTGGGAAAAATTTTAATGGGGGATTCTAGAGGCCAAAATAAGACGAAAATATAGAATACCAATTTGTTGATGGAGGCTTTATTAAAAAGTTATTAATGTTTAAAGTTCCGCCCGTACTGAATTTTTTTCTCGAAAATGCGCAGGATTTCGGGAGTATGTGTATTCACCAAAAATGATTGTAATTGACCCCCGCAACCGAAAATAATTTTTCCAGACCGATTTGAAATTTTTTTTTTCCATCGAAAAATTTCACATCTCGAATTTTTTTCTCGAAAATGCGCAGGATTTTGGGAGTATGTCTATTCACCAAAAATGATTGTAATTGATCCCCGCAAGTGAAAATAATTTTTCCAGAACGATTTGAAATTTTTTTTTCCGTCGAAAAATTTCACACCTCGAATTTTTTTCTAAAAAGTGGGTAGGATTTCGGGGGTATGTGCGATGACCAAAAATTATTGTAATGGGCCCCCGCAAGCGAAAATAATTTTTCCAGACCGATTTGAAATTTTTGAATTTAATTGTTAATAACTTTTTAACGAAGCGTCCATCAACAAATTGGTATTCTTGATTTTCGTCTTATTTTGGTCTCTAAAGTCCCCCATTAAAATTTTTCTCGGGGATGGCCGAACACCCTGTATACATCTCTTGTAATAATAGGAGTTTTTAGAGAAATGTATTGTGCAGAGCTTGAAAGATTACGATTGACTATAGTAGATGGGTTTAGAGAATGTTCTTGGAGCTGGTTAAGCGAAACTTATTAGCAATTTTCTGAAAACAATGGCGTTGAGGCTCGACAAAGTGAAACTTTCGATCCCTCGATGCACCAGCTGCCAGCCTTAACAATAAGCTGTTGGCTTGGCCGATACTTAGCGCGGCAGTTTTATCGATCTTTACTTGAACTTACGGTTAAACCCACCTGGCAATTCAGACATCGCGTGCTTTGAGAAACTTGGAACTCAAGGTGCACGATCTTCGATACAGAATCTTATAACGCGCGGTCGAAAAACGTAAGAAAGGTCAGCGATGCAGGAAAACGTACTGTAACGAAAGAAACGCTCAGAAATCGTGGAATAATTGCATAAGAATTTAACAGACTTCGTAAAAGATTAGAAATCGGAGTTGATTATAAGAAGAATAATTATTTACTGTTCGATCAAAAATTAGACGACGTTGAAATAAATTACAAATTTACAACAAGTAACAACCACGTACAGTTAATTATTTATTGACGCCCCCGAATCGATTATTAAGGTTCTCTTCAGTTATAAGCATACTTTAAGTAACACCTGACGATATTCAGGAAGTGCTCGAGAAAGTAAAAACAATTTAATCCTCCATTTCCACCAGTTATTTATTATCCAGACGTAGAAACTCTCTGCATAAATAATTTTATACGTTAATATATTTCTGTACGAGAACATTTATTCTCGTTCAACATAAATTCCCACTAAAATTTATTTCGTAATTCTGCGTCACCAACCGAAAGGGTTGAAACTTCTCTGTTTGTTTATCCGTCGGAGGCTTCGTAATTGAAAATGTTCAATAAAATACGAGACACTTTGGAAACTACCGAGAAACTTAAACCATAAAGGCCATGCATAAACAACAGAACATGCACAGCTGTGCATACAGCAAATAAAAGGCCACTTTCAACAATTTCTCTCTCGTTGAATCAACCAATTCTCAATCCAGCATTTTATCGAATTATCAACAATATAAAGGCCGAGTTCTTTTAGTTTTTAGCGTTCCAGATATATTTGGTCAAGATTTACTAACTCGGAGCGTTCGATTTACTAGAAATTTGCGAGTCAATGTATACGCGACGAGTTAATCAAAGTGTTACGAATTGCAGCATGAATTTTTTAACTCCCACATTTTCCAAGGATTGGTCATTTGATCGGTGGCTGATTACGACAGCTAGACGTTAACCTTGAAGTGCCTGTTACCCAAGGAAGCCCGTATTTAGAACTGCATCGAACCGAAAGCCGATGAACCGGTTCTACCTAGGGTTCCCATCGTATCAAAGTTCGGTTCAAGATTCGCGACGATATCGAAATACGACGTTTATCGTCCCTTCCTAGTCCATCCTTTGTCACGTTAATCGGTCGTAGTCTTGTCATACTGTCCGTACAATGCTTAAAAAATCATTCGATTTTCGAACCAATACTATGGGTCATTTTCTTGATACATCGACGAACGAATAGCAGTCGATCGTTCCACTAATATTACGCATAATAATGCAAACGCAATTAATATGAATGACAAAAATCGGTTGTAAGGAACGATATGATATTAATGCTGCTTTGGACAAAGATTTTTCTATCGAAAGAGGAGACTTAACTGTCGAGGTCGACGAACCATCGAGGATTCCGTTCCGTCATCTTCAACCAACGAAATCCCTCGCAAGAATAGACGCTACCACTCTTTTCTTTTAATACCTAATCCAGTCTTTTACCGTCTACATTTCGTCTGTCGTAATACGTGCGTTGAACCGGGCCAGACCGGCACGATAAAAATTTAGACTCTGTATCGCGTTATTGCGCAATACCGTCGTTGGAAGATTTCTTTTAATGCACGGATGCCAAGCATGACTCTCGTTTCGCCTTTCATTACGCGTCGAATCCTTGTTGCTTTGTGCGATTTCGCGTGCCACGGGGAAAAAGGAAGTCATTATCGAACGTGAAATATCATTCGGTGACTTTGTTTCCACGTGCACGCAAAATCTTGCTAGAAAAACAAGAAGTCGCGATCGCGATCGTGATTCTCAAGGAACAGCCTTTAAATTACATACAAGTGGGAAGAGAAAAGCAAAATGGCTTGTAAACTATTTTCAAATACATTTAGGCTCTCGTGGTCGACTCTTGACGAGCAAATAAAAAAGTTTGAAGTCTTGTATGAAAGATAACAGGGACGAAGAATTAATTTCTGACGCATATTCAGCCAGCCAGAACATTGGAACAGAATAACAAGAATTTTCAATCGAACAAGTCGAAAGTAATTGAGAAGAAAGACGGAGGTCACAAATAGAAGACATTTTGAATGAAACGATAAAAATGAATCAAAATTTTCTAGGACAGATTTAATATTAAATCTTTTAAATCATTAAGAGGACTAACGCAGACTATGAAGGATTTGAAAGGATTTAACTAAATATTTCACATGTATCGTTAGAAACATGTGTTCTATCGTCCCACAACAAAAGATCGTTAAAATCAAAGTGGTACAGTTTCTCTTCTGAGATCTGCTGTCTTCCATCTAACAAATTGAGCGCAACGCAATAAATCTGAATCAGTTTATGTTAGCAACGTTCGTATATTCGAGACAGTTGTCGCAAACGCGTGTACGTCGTCCACATAAACAGTAAGAGACTACGAACTTATAAGAGGACCCAAAATAAAACATGGCCCCTGTGATTTGCAATGATCTACAAAATGAACTAGTAAAGTTACCAAGTTTTCTTCTGGAATGTATATATTTTCTACGCGACAGCCTGCGAAGAAAAATGAAAATCTCTTGTAAATTTACTTTTCAACGTATCCGGGCAGTTAGGTAAGGAAGAAACGGGCCTAACGGAGAGTGGGGACCTATGGCCCCTTCCCCTTTCACCTTCTTCGCGAAGGTGGAACGAGCAACCTTCGCGATTTCTTTCCTTGTTGGATACGTGGAGGCTCGACGCTGGCGTCGCTGTCGGTCGAGATCGGAAGCCCGGCGATCTACTCGCCTACGAGGAACGATCGCGCCAGCTGTGATCGTCGTCTGCACGCGGCGATCGGTGCACGTGGTCGGCTGGATCTATCGCGAACACGTCCTTGGTTCCTCGATCGAGATCGGTGTTTCCAATCCGAGCAACTTCCATCGAAAACAACGACTATCGAAAACAGTGAAACGAAGTGGTATTCGTCGGAGGATCTGCTTTTTGCTGGAAGATCGTCCCGATCGAGGCACGATCCGCGCAGTTGTAGCTCTTCGGGCGGTCACGGCAAACGGTGTTCTCGACGAAACTCGTTTCTACGGCGCACGGAGGAGGAAAGTAGGGTAAAACAAGCGGTAAACAAAACAGCGAGAGAGAAAACTGCGCGGCAACATGGCGAGCCCGAGCTTAAAAAACAGGATTCGATAGAGGCCGGGTCTGGAAGTTGGCGATGCCGTCTCCACGATCCGAAATTCGGTTAGACCCAGCGGTAACACTTTGGTGCCTCGACTTTACCTGTTTCCAAGTGTACGATAATCGTTAGTCATCGTCGATAAGGAATAAATCGTCAGAGTGCGAAGGATCGTGGACCTATTTAGCAAAGTAGCACCTTCGATGACATGAAAACCGACATGCCGGACGTTCAGCAAGGAAAGGTCGACGGACGGTTGGGGTCGTCGAAGCAGGGTTCGAGGTCGCGTGTGTGCCAAGAACACGGCGAGGAGGACTGTCCCAGCGAGAACGAGCACGAGTTCGAGTCGCTGGAGTACGAGGAGGACGTTTATTACTCGAATCTGACGGCCACGCCGAGCTTCGACGACATCGACGAGCTCAGCGACGACGCCGACGAGATCGTCGTCCATTGCTGGCGCGACTCGAACGGCGAGATCGACGAGATCGTCGTGGACGACGCGAACCTGTCCGTGGAGACGCAATTTTTCACGCCGGACGCCGAGGACGGCGCCACCGGTCGAGGACGAAGAAAGAAACGATCCGTTCGAGTGATATTCCAGGACTTCTCGAAGCCCTACTTGGCCAGGATCAGCAACAGCCAGAATTACAAGAAGTTCCTCGAATTGGTAAAAGGTGCACAATGTAATACGGGGATGAAGTCTGGTCTGGACAATTTTCTTTTAATTCGATTCTCCGATCTTTTTAATTTTATGGGCGTTCACACGTGCAAATGCTAATATCAGGTTTAATGAAACGTCTTTTTTCTCGCAAGATTTCCCACGTTCATGACTCAACTTCTACTTTACAGCGTCGTGATTCATTCTGTTTTGAAATTATTCTGATATGATTTGAAGATACTTAATAGTATACAAATGTTTGAATAATATAATACTTGTTCGAACGTCTGCAAAGTCTTCTTTCAAATTCCAGCTTTACGTGGAAGCGAAAGGAACGTTTCTGCGCGACGTCTTTGAGCCATCGTCTTATTGCATTGTCGTGAGTTCTTGCGCGAATTGGAATCGGTACACAAAAGACCATAAGTAGGGCGACATTGCAAAATATGAAAGCGAGAACCGTATCAGCGTTTTACGGTGTCGGTTCTACCGAATAGGATATTTTCCAGCTTGGAAAAATAAATTAGGCCACGGTTCGCGACAAAACGATAACGCGCTTTGAAATTCCTATACAATTTTTATTTCGTAACAGATCAACGAAGAATCCATTTAGTTACAATTTAAATAAATTTAAGTGAATTCTGTTAAAACCCAGGTGCTCTAATCGATTCTCAAAAACAGGAATATTCGTACGTCGAAGTTTTAACGATCCATTGTTCGATTTACTTTGTGTAAATCCAAGACAGGTTTGAGATATACTGGGAGTCGTTTGGAACAATGTAGATTTCGACGAACTGTTAATGAGTTTAAACGTGCACCGTTGAAAGTTTTCGTCTAGTTAAAATTCCTTTGCACGCCCTCGATCGAAACGTTCTTACTGTTTGCAACACCGTCTCGCGTCACTGAACTCGTGAAAGTTTCTGCTGTCTGTAAATTAGCGATATCCAGGATATATATGGGTTTAGACGGGGATGAGAAGACGGGGAACAAAAGTTAAATTAATCGTTTCTAAGAACTAAAAGCAGAAACAGCCGCGTACCGTAGTTCCTTTTTGTTTATGCAATTACAGGAAGTTCTGAGTATTCCAGAGTAGTGGTTCTTAAACGGAGGTTCGAGGATTCCCAAACTTGCACACAGAAATATAAAATATTTATATTTATGGCGAATAACTGTTATATTAAATCTTTGAATTCGAAGATTCTCGATATCGATTATTAATATTCGTGTTACTAACTGGAAAACAATTATATGATAAACCGTAACTTTGATATATAATTACAAATTAAAAAAATGTGTTTCTTCCTCGTCTAGAAATTAAAAACAGACTGGAAACGGTTCGTAGCCGGTTACGAGAATCGGAAGTACTTGCGTGGAGTTCATCAACCTTGACACTTCCTTTCTTAAGCAGAATATTATAGTCTCTAAAAAGTTCGATATTCGATAACTATATTTTTGTAATATGAATATCAAAATTCAGAAACGCGAAGATCCTTTTGTACAGTTTTATTTTATTTTTGATCGTTCAGTTTTTGAATAATACATTCCCGGAAGTCGGGAAATGCTCTTATTGTGTAACTTTCAAAAGTAACAGTAGGAAGTGTCACTTTCTAAAATAATTTTCAATTTTCGTGTTTGACGTAAGATTTTACGTAAATTGTTTCCGACAAAGTGATTACTGTTGCAGCGTAATAATCTCCAATTAATACATTTTATTTGGAAGTTATTCGAAGGAATAAAAGACGTTCATTTTTGTACTATTTTTATTTTGTATGTTAGTCTTCGTTAATTTAGGTATTTCTCTGTGAATTCTGTGAATCTTAAAGAAGCTTTAACGCTTGCCACGATGCTGTTTTACTTTGAGAAACAAAATTACCAGTGTAAAATAGCAAATACCGAGAGGAACTCGAGCAAAAAGATATCGATTCTCGGGATCCGAGTTGGTAGTTACGTCTAAACGTAATTCGATCGAGAAAACGACCATAATCTGTCCCTGTTAACTCGAAGCTGTCTGTCGCTTGCGTAATTCCGCGGTGTGTATCGTCGACAAATCCGCAAGTCCTCCAGTTACACTCGCGGATCTCTCGATTTCGCGCACGTAACGATAAACTAGTCGAGGAGATAACGAAAGTGCATGAATCAATGATGAATTTATAAATCGAACCGGTTTGGTTTTTTCTCGTTTCGGCGTCCATCTTGCGACATCGTCGAATTTATTGCACGCGTCGGTCGTTCGTTGCAAAATACAGAATGCATTAACGGGAGAGAACAGTTGCCTGCGTATCCCGCTGATGGATATTATATTCTAACTGTTCTTCGGTCGCATAATCAATTATTCCAGTCGATGCTCCGTAGATGAATGCGATTCGTGGTATTGGAAACATACTAATATACGCGTTTCAATCGTTTTAACGTGAAGTGGAATAAAACTTTTTGATTTTTAATATGATATATGCAAAATAATTAAGAACCACTGGTTTAGAGCACATACTCGGTTTCTATTACGTTGTCGGTGTTTCCTAACGCGTTTCGTGTTTTCCAGGAGAAGATGCCACTCTTCACTCGTCAGGCTATATTTCACCGTCCTCGGATACCGTCGTGAGCGAGTTGCAAGGACTCTCCGTGGAGGAACAGGATCGTCAGAAGGAAGAATGGAACGCAGAACTGTCCAAGGTACGTAGCAAAGTATTTTATGTTCCGATGAAACCACCAGGCAGATAAAATCGTGAAATACGACTTAGCTTGAAATCCCGTGACACCGCTATTCGTTCTTCTCAGTTAGGAAAATCCGAAACTTTTTCTCTTTTCGAGCAACAAGTTTCCAGGGGACAAGGTTTACTTGGAAACTTCGAAATCGGTAGAAATTTTTTTTGTGATATTCAGGCGTAGTTAATTTATTGTAAATGGTTGTTTCAGGACTTCTCAAACTACGACAAATTGTATAGTGTGCAATTTTTAATATGTAAAAAATATTTAAAGAAATTAGTGTCAACCTAAAATCTTTCTCATATGGCTTTAAAGTTTGACCAACAAGATTTTCCATGATTACAAATCGAATTTGAACCAAATTAAAATCTCTTACGATGGTATTCTCGTAACCCAAATTAAAGGAGTGTGAATATTCTTGCTCCAAGGTTGAAGTTTCACACGAGGAGGTTGAAATATTCATGTGTCGTAGGTCGAAGAGGAGATCCATACTCTGAGGCACGTGCTGGCGTCCAAGATCAGAGTCTCCCAGGAACTGAAGAGGAAGTTGGGCATCAGCGTGTGGAAGGAGATCACCGAGGACATGAATCAGGGGTTGAAAAACGTTAAGGAGAGCCAAGTGTACGTTTTTATTTCGCTATAAGAAAAAAGCACGCGCTTTCTCTCTGTCTCTATCTTTCACCCTCATCTTGCACGAACGGAGTCCTTGCTAGGTTTCGTCAGCGATTTCGCGTCGATTTCCCGCGAGCAACAAAGTGGTTCCGTTTGTTTCGCTTTCACGTCGAAACGAGCGCGATTGTTCGATTTAATTAACGATTTTACGAGCCGTTTCCCAATCTCTGTTCGCGACACGCTGCCGACGCCTGGGACTCCGAACATAATTACGAATGCCAACGCGCGAATAATTGAGCGGGTAGACCTATAGCTAGAAGAGCTTCTTGCCACTACAGAGACGTCGAGGTTGCTAGAACTGTACTCCAACCGATCTATAATCAATTTAACTTAACGAACAAGCGTTCCCCAGTTTCTCTGTAAAGTAAATAAACGTTCATGGAATATTTTCCGAGTTCTTTTTATCGTTTCGAGTAGGTAGGGAACTCTCATTTCGTTTTTTTCATGCTCGCAAATGTGGCCAGAGGTATGGAAAGTTTGTTGGTACAGGGTACAATGTTTAAATTTTAGGATAGAATATTTAAACTCGACGTTCTGGGCCAAATACTGATATATATTAAACAAGTGCAGAGAAAATTAAACATGTGTAAGAACCTCCTAATGTTTGGGAATTAATATGACCTATATAACGAGTCGATAAAAGCAGTGAAAATATTTTTTTAATTAAAATTGTTCGCTGTGCCAACAATTTTCTATATTTTATCGCACGTTTCGATTACGTTGGTAGTAATAATAGTGTTTTTGTTGGGGGAAGAAAGAAGAATCCTGCGATCGGTTACAATTAGGAGAAACGAAATGCACTGCACAACACTCACGCTGTATATTTATCATTTTTCGCGTACGGTGACGGTTGCCGATCCTCCCGTACCCTTTTTTTCGTTTATTTTCTGCTACTTTTGCCCTTCAGACACGTAGAACACTTTTCTTTGACTTTTGGTTGGGTTCTCATTCAGTTATCAGAACGTCGGGGAGAAACTCGGTCAGTTCACCAAGGCGGTCACCGAGAACACTTTGTAAGTACACAAATGATTCTGTTTTCAAAAAACAAAAGAGGCATAAGGCTCGTAAGCATCCGTGTATATTCATTGATATTAAAATTACAGTATTTTCTCTATATAAGCTCAGAACTCGTCCACGATATAGACAAATATCGTATCCCCTCTACTTATCCCCACTGCGTACCGTTAGAACCCAGCACTCGCTGAACCGGCGAGTGTGCCTTCCTATGGGCGGTTCCCCAGGATAGCGGCCCGTTTGACGGTCGGTCGTCGAGCATTGTCAAATTTTTTATTTTTCCTTTTCTTGTTTTAAAACTTTTAACATGTCTGTGACAGTTTTCTGATTTAACTAAGATCAAGTACAACATAATTTTTATTATTGTTTTTCATAAATTATAATATACATTTGTCCTTTCTTTAAAGTGTATCCTCGTCTGAAAAAAGGAATTGTAATTTAATTGACCTATCATTTATTTGCTGAAATCGTGAGAGAACTCAGAGTAAAATAAGTTGGTTAAACAGTTCAAATTCGCAAGTTTGTATCTTTTTGAGTAATATCACTATTGCAGTAAATGAGCGATACATACATATATGTACTTTAGTTATGACACGATTTAACTAGTACATATACAATATTAAATCAACAACGAAATTTATCTTTATTTTTGTTCTTCCTTTTTTCGAACTTCATCAACATATTCGTGACACTTTTCTAATTAAAATGACACCAAATACGATATACAATTTAGGTCCTATTTACTAACGCAATAAGAAATCAAAGGCATGCATCGCTCAAGTGGCTCCACGTCGGCTGTATCGAAACACAGGCGATGTTTACGCGAGCCTATACAGAATCAGTATTTCATTCTGCGACCTCTACCAAGAGAGGTAGAGGTCAGAATTAGAACACCGATTTCGTATAGGCTCGCATAAACATCGCCTGTGTTTCGTTACAGCCGACCCGAAGCGAAGGAAGCGATAGCAAATTCGGCGATGCTCGGCCGCTCAGTCCCTCTTTGTCATATGCTCGCTGTTCTTTTCTATACTCGCCGCCTCCAGTAGGCGTCAACAAAGTATCAAGAATCGTTTCTCGTCCACGATATAGCCGAGCGTTGAGCCCCGAGAGCGTCGCTTCTATAGAGACAATACTGTATACTTCGCGTGCGAACGTTTACGACCAAGTATATAGCTCTTCGAATGTAAAGAAATCTATAATTATATTAAAATATACATTGTATATTATTACACTGCTCACAAACATACGTTACATACAATTACAAAGGTTACACAGAGAAACAAGATTATGCGTTTGCATCTTATTTTGAAAAAAGAAAGATAAGCAATGTTTGTTTCGTAAAGATAACATAAATGATTTCGCTTGTCTCTTACATATACAATTATAGATTGTTTCGCATCTAAGGACGACTTATGCTCGATAAAGAACGTTTATGCGCGAAATATAATTTAAAGTCAGTAAATACATGGACGCTTGTAAGACCTATACTTGTTTCGTTTTTTAAAAATAAAAGCTAGCAAAATTACTACTAATTTCGATTAATTACGTTTTCCTCAGGATTCAATATTTCCTCCGCGATGGTAGAAAGTTAATCGTGAAACCGGAAAGACGCTTTTCCTCGCGTTTATACATTTTGCTCGCGTCGGAGGGAAATATTGGATCGTAGTTTTCGACGCGTTATGTTTTCGTTTGCTCGATTATCTCGCGCCAGTCTCACCGTATCGATAAAATTGATAACGCTTGAGCCAGTAGCACGCTGTAAAAAGGCAAATTCCGAAAAATTAATTTCCCGATAGAACACTGATATATCAATTTTTCGGATCGGTAAAAACATAAGCTTTGCGTAACAACGATTGAACGATACGTAGATTGCTGTAATTAATTAACGAGAGTTCAGTTTGCGACACTTGATTACACGCAGTGACATTTTTCCTAAATTATTACTACTATGTTCACCAAATATCAAATTAATATCTTCTATTTTTGCAAGATTATAGATGTATTTATTTTTGTTAGGATGTTAGAATAGTATATGATTAAGAAAAACCCGTTTTAATAATCTTTGTAAAAAACCAAACAAAACTAGACCTCTGAAATCATGTAACTTTTATTTCAAACATTTTTTGACATAATTAAGAGTTTCGAATTTATTCTAGTTGCTGCGTTTAATCAAGTGTCACGGGTTATAGTGATGGGACTGATACGATTGCATATTAATGATATTAAATAAATATACTTGAAGAATTTTCAACGAATTAAATTCTATTTTTTTAAATGGAATTACATTGTATATAATAATAAATTCTATTTAACTTCCGTCTATTTGAATAGTTTCCAAGATATTCGGCTAACCAAAAATTGCAATTATAAACTTTGAATTGCTACGCCGTGTTTCGTCGCCTCGAATATTAATCCTTTCCACTCGGAATGCCAGTTATGCTGACATTAACATTCATTTCAGGAACTCGGTATGCCACTTTCGCTGACACTGTAGGATACTATAAAATGTGAAATTTCATACATTTTTGAAACCATTAAATTTATGTACAAACGATAGAATCCAATGTTTACTTTTCACAGTAAAAAGGTAAATTTCTTGAAAAAAATTCTGTTTCAAAGAGTATTAAATTGTGAGTAAAAGTGCTAATAATCTTTATTGGAGCTAAATCTAACGGATAACAAAATACTTTGCTTTGTTTCTCGAAAATTTGCCTGTCGTACATTCGTCATTAAAATTATCAGCAAAACAGCTGCGTTATCGTCAGTATTGAATGGCGAACATAAGAGCCAACCACAGTGATATAACACAACTTGTGTCGATAAATGCAAGTAAATACTACTGTTTCATAGAAATCTTTGATACGAAATAAGATTGCAATATGAGATATCGATTGCGATTTGTAACTGAGAAATTATAGACAAGTCGATGTACTACTTGGAATTTCATACGAAATGTGCTCCATTAATATAAACATTGCGAGCTTCAAGGAATTTAAATTTTCTAATTGTTTAGAAAGCCCAAATTGAATACGAAATTGCTCGAAGAAGAAAACGAATAAAAATGCAAGCTTTGTTCCTAATAAAAATAATACGCGTGTAAATAACTATGAAAATCGTGAAGAAAGCCACTCGATCTTCGATACTGATACTTTCACGTTTCAAAACGATTCGATACAAAATGGTACTTTTTCATTTGGTATCTATGGTTAATGGCATTGGTCCCATCGCTACGTGTGTGAAGAAACGCATGACGCAGTATCATCCGCTTTATTCATTCTCGAGTCCTAACCGAACCATCAGCGACCACCGGACCATCTGACCCCGCTTGGACAAACGTTTCGTTAAAATAAATGTACAATGTCGCCTGCTATAGATTCCAGAAGACAGAATCCGTCTTCAAGACCACGGCTGAGAAGACGACCAGCATTTTCGGTGGTTTTGGCAGTGGACTGTCCATGAAGTTGGGCCAAATGCGCAACTCCGACAGTTTTCGTTCGTTGGAGGAACGAGTCGGGTCTGCTTACGAAAACATGAAGGTACTTAATGATTTAACGTTGGACAAGCGACGAAGAAAAATCTAACTGAAATTTAAATACAAGTCCCCCGAGATATGTCGTGCAAAATAGTTAATGAATACCTGAAGACTCTGGACAACACAAGACAGTCTGAAAAAATAATTAATTTTCAAGCTCGTCCAAAAGTTACCTTGTTCAGAAATAATTGGTAAAATTGTGGTAGATATAAGAATACAGATCTTTTTGTCAAGTTAGTTTAGTTAGTACAAGTCTAAAAAGAAAACTAGTTGGATTTTCAAGCTCGTCCAGAAGTTGTGTGTTCGGAAATAATTGGAAAAATTGTGATAGATATAAGAGTACAGATCCTTTTATTTTATTATGCGTATCATTTTTGCTGCCAAGTTAGTTCAGTTGATACAAATCTAGAAAGAAAACTAGTTGGATTTTCAAGCTCGTCCAGAAGTTGTGTGTTCAGAAATAATTGGAAAAATTGTGGCAGATATAAGAGTACAGATTCTTTTATTTTATTATGCGTATCATTTTTGCTGTCAAGTTAGGTCAGTTGATACAAATCTAGAAAGAAAACTAGTTGGATTTTCAAGCTCGGCCAGAAGTTGTGTGTTCGGAAATAATTGGAAAAATTGTGATAGATATAAGAGTACAGATCCTTTTATTTTATTATGCGTATCATTTTTGCTGTCAAGTTAGGTCAGTTGATACAAATCTAGAAAGAAAACTAGTTGGATTTTCAAGCTCGGCCAGAAGTTGTGTGTTCGGAAATAATTGGAAAAATTGTGATAGATATAAGAAGACAGATCCTTTTATTTTGTTATGCGTGTGATTGTTGCTGTCATGTTAGTTGGTATGAATCTGTATGCTGAAGACTGAAGATACTTGAAACTTTGTGCAGGGTTGGTGATATTTAATGGAGAATTTGCTATTTTCAGACAAAGGTTGTGCCTTCGCGGTCCAGTTCGACACAGAGCTTCGACGACGTTCTTCGGGAATCGGTGTCCGCGAGACGTGCATCCGCGGCACCGTCAGCGACCAGCCCGACCATTCCCGAAGACAAGCTCCTCTCTTAGAGCTGGCACTCGAATCCACATCGATTTCTGCCTCTTCTCTGCGTAACATGCTGACGCGTCGGTCCGCGATGCCAATGTATCGCTCTATGCTACTACTATCACTTTCTACCGCATTGCTATAACCAGGGCTAAGCGATATTCTACAATCGAACGTATATTAAAATCGATCGGGACAAGAACCACGGGAAGACCATTCGAGTTCTCCGGCGAGGCTCGAATCGTCGATGTATCGAAGACTCGAACGATCAATGACATAGTTAAAATTTATATATACAGCGACGTTGTGCTTTTCTCTTCTTTATCGCGTAACGCAACGGGTTCGTTTAAACTATGCGTAGCTTTTAGGATCTTTTGGTTTCGTTGAATTTTCTCGAACGACGCGAGAGAGGAAATTTTCATCGACTTCGTTTTCTTTTTTTTCTCTCGGGCTTGGTATGGTGCAGGATTCGTTCGTTAGATCGGTGATTTCTTTTGTCGGCAAAAGATTTTCAGTCGGGCTGTCATGTTACCCAAGAAGATGGCGATCGCTACCCTTATTTTATCGAACTTATTTGCACTATAGCAGTTTTTATAACGAATAATAATATATCGTTGATACGTACCTTAACATTTATTTGCGTTGCAACCTGTTTTCGCACCATCGATTCGTGAAAAGTAGGCACACGCTTTGATAGATACTTACTGGTGGCGTTTTTTTTTTTTTCCTCTCGGACATCCGCCGTCGAAACGATACTTCCGTATATTCCTACGAAACAGTCTACGCTCGTACAAGACTCGTGCTTCGACAATACTGTCCGTTCCGTGTGATACAAGAGCACCGATTTCTATCGTAGTTTCCTTAACGATAATTTGCATCCCCCCCCGCGAGTATATCGTCGAAAATGTCGGAATTAATTTATACGATCATTCACTCTCGATTGGACAATTTTTCATCGTCATAAAAATTCCAAAGTTTTAACACGACGATAAATAAAGTTCTTTTATTTCACGGTTGTTGTCGCCCGACAATTAAATTTTTCGTTAGCGAGTTGTAATATAAAGAATTGAGAAACGTTAAGCCGCGCGAAAGTTATAAAGAGGGTAAGAGTGACTTTATTTTAAATATTCGAATCTCAGACCCCCACCTTCTAATCGTACATTGACCAAAACAAAAAAAAAAAAAAAACAAAAAAAATAATGTGAGAAATATTTTTTCCTGAGCTCTATAACGAAAGTACCTACGTGGCACGGATGCTCGGTGACTGGGAGCGCGATTGCTTTTCGTGATATGTAAAGCCGTGTCCCCACTGGGTCGGCAAAGAAATGGATTTGCCGCGGTGCATAGCAGTGGCACGGCCGTGCCGCCTTTTGCCGAACGCTGTGCCGATCGGCAAATGCCGAGCCGTGCCGACCCAGTGGGGACGCAGCTTAAGACACTACGTAAAATACACGTATAAACACACGAATCTCTGGTATATTTATCTTACAAGCTACGTTACACAAACGACGAAGCGTTTAAGAAGCTATGTGTCATTTAAACTCGATACAAATCCAACATACGTGTCGAACCTGCGCTCGTAATCGTCATCGACTACCTGCTACACAATCTACTTATTCATATTGGTGAATAAATTATTTTAAGAAATGCCATACGTGGAAAGTGATTTTCTGTCCTTGATTTACACGCTCGTATCGGCGATATGCGCTTTATTCGTATTTATGGAAATTTAATAACACGTTCCGCAACGAAAGTCTAAATCGCTCTTGTCCTTTTTCCCCCGATAGAAATAAATTTTCCTTATGTACGCATGACTCGCTCGTATTTATGGAACTTTAATAATATATTATTCGCTCTTTTCCATCTGTTTTCCCCTCGACTTTATAATTTATTCGTATTTACGAGAATTTAATAATATATTATTTATGGATATTTAAATCGCCCGTTTCCTTTTCCTCTCTTTCGAAACTGTCTCGTTTCAGTGAAATTGAAAACATTTTTTCCATCGATACAACTTATTCGATCGATCGTAATTGCAAGGATGCTGTTCAGAGCGAAGAATATATTACTAAGCTTCGATGTTCTTTTGTTTTTATATTTTAATTGCATTCTCTAACGTACACTATAAATAGAAACAAAGGAAAATTTTTGAAAACCTTCCTGCTTTGGAATTCCAGTTTTTCATTCGCAGGAAATAATTTATTTAAATAAAATGCCAAGTAAAACTTTACCACCTCGTGTATCTCTGTGTAAATTTATTTCTCCGTTCTAGGCAGCAGATGAAAAAAGAATTGTGTTTCTTGAAAAGTTTTTAATCTGTTGTTTCCTGGAAGAAGCGTATAAAGGATTATTAACTGCAACAATAAACTAAACGGACAGTAAGTAAAACAGAGAAGGTAAGTTCCGTTACGTTTTCTAATGAATGTTGTTGTACGTTGGAGTTTTTCCATGTAGCCTCTTTTTTTTCTAAATTCAATTATGTAACTTACCTTGCTCAACCAGGATCGTAGACGTATCCTACTATGAATAATTAAGAAGTTCGCGGTAAAACGAGACTCTGGATCTCGTCGTGAAGCTTACCAGCTAAGAGAGGATGACTGGATGGAATAATCGACCGTGGACAATCACACACGCTTGGTATTAAAAAAGGAATTGGTCAACTACTTTATTGCCATTCTGCACGTGGTACAAAACATAGTTCGGGCGCGTACGAGCGCGCTTAAGTACAAAACAAAAACGATCCTCTACGAGTAGTCTTCTCCAGCTGCATGGCGAGAGCAAACGAGTGAAAAGGATAGAAGAGAGAAGAAAGTAAGAATAAGAAAAGAGCGAAAGTTGTGGCGGGTAAAGAAAAACGGGAGAAAGAGAGCTGTGTGTTAACATTACATGCATACGTATGTATACATGTATGTGTATACATACATATATATATATATATTCGTACATAGATCTGTGTATCTGTATATGTATAGAAACATGTTAACAACATAAAATGTAATTATTCACATAACACAATAATCCGTGATCTATAATATTATAACGATCTGGTTTTGTACTGGATAGGCCAACACATACGTTTCCTATATACATAGTCGGGACTCTTTTAAACATTCGTTTCGATAATCTTTATTTAATTAAAATAAAAAAAAAATAATAATAATAATAAGAAGAAGAAGAAGGATCTATCATTTCCTTAGTTATATAGCGAGACGAGCTTGGCTCGTCGCTTTGCTCGGGCTCCGTGCAGGCCCCTTGAGTATTATTTATTTATTCGTTAATTTATTTATCATTTCGCTTGAAAATATCTCGTTACGGATATATTTCGTTACCATGGTAACCTTGGAATTGGGTTCGTCACCTTAACAAGGGCTAACAACACCGTCGCTATCGCTATCGTCTAATATTAAAGTCGTACCATCTAGAGAAGTAGTGTAAGAAGAAAAAAAAAATATAAATATATTTATATATATATATATATATAAAAACAAGGGGAGTAACATTAAATTAAGAACGCAGTGTAGAGTAATTGAAAGGGATTATCGTATAATACAACGGTACCTTGAGTATTATTCAACAAGAACAAATCGGCGCGACGGCTGTCTGAACGTATCGTCGATCGAATCGCGATTAAAACAATAATCATTCTTTCCATCCTTAAAATTACGTTTAGTGATCGTCGTTTGATGCATCTCGGTTTAGTTGGGTTTCGTGCCAAAAAGGAATTCGTCTCGAACAACCATTGTAAAGTCTCTTTCTCTGTTCGTTCCTCGAGATTTCCGAAGATCTTAGGATGCAATTCGTTTCGAAGTCTTGAGGTTTTAAAATACTGAAGAATGATTGTATCAATGATTTTTTAGCATAAGGATGAACCGAATTAAAGCAAAACAATTTCGAGTCTTGAAAGTTATTAATAATCCTATTCGTTGTATGTAGTAACAATTTTATGGCAGAGATGGGCAAAAATCGTTTCCAAATAAAAATTTCAGTTATAGAAATATTTCATAGCAAAGACGTGAAAATGGAATAAAGTTTTGCTCGCCTTTGTTCTTAGTTACCGCGACCGATTTCGTTTGTTCGACCGCGATGGATCCGTATTTCAGGGCCAAGAGGACGCGCGTCGACGCGTTTATGGCGACGACGAGCCTTACTTTTTACGATAATAAATTTCAGCTATTATAGTCGGCCCGCGACATTATCCTCGTTTACCCGATTCAACCGTGGTGACCTTTGCACGTGAACGTTGCACCTTTCCGCGCAATCTTCCATCTACGGAGACCATTGTTGTATCTCATACCTCGTGTTTACGGAGAGACGGGGGTGTGCCACACCTCCGTTCTACCTTCAGAAGGTTAACGCGCTGTAGCGGTATTAGTCAACCACAATGAGGCACGGATGCCGAGGCGCTGAAAAATCTCGGGTTCTGCGCATACAGCTGGATAATTCTCCTTGAAGTTTCGCTCGGTACCTAAATTTCAACGGACAATGAGAGAAAGCGCCAATTCACCGTGTCGCGAAACTATGAAACCATCCTAAATTTTACGCTTTTCAAAAATAAACTTTTATCGCGCCTTGCAAGGCAGCTGCCTGAACAACACACGCTTGACAGAGTTTTCTTTTTTTTTAACATTAAGAAAACGGATTGCGTTCGAGAAAATCCGCGAATTTCATAAGATAATGCGCCGAGATCACCGGAAAGACATTTGTCGTAACTCCAGATTCCTGATTTTATTATACAAGAAATAGTATTATCGATCAGGACTTTCCACTGATTTATGATTCGTCTGCTCGTAAACATAGAGATTTAGAAAATGATCGAAGACAGGATTTCTATCGAACCTTTTCACTGCCACGGGTTCTTTCGAATGGCACCAATCCCTATTTATGCTTGAGATTCTTGCGCGTATTTTCTCTCGACTAAAATCTCAATTTCCTAGTTTCCTTCGGATTAATCGATAAAACTTGTTCGAAATTATCTTTCCCGTTAAACACGCGCGTTTATAGACATGCTCGGTTTTACCTAATGGAATGCAAGATCGTAATAAGTAAATAAATCAAACCCTGGAACGATTAAAGAGTGCATTTCTAATGGACATAGCCAGAGTGGGGTATTTATACGTCGAATCCTAGCAAGAACTATGAAAAATTACCAATGGTGTCAAATTTTCCTCAAAACGAAAATAAAAAATAATTTTCTGAAAATTGCTCTGAATATTCTAACATTTTGAATAACTTTTCAGGAATCAAACGAAGATGGCCGCCTAGAAGCTACGTTCTTCAGCGTCTAAGGTACAGTAAGTTCTGTTTAATTTGAAATATAACCGAGGCAATCCTCTATTTTGAGACTGATCTTTGTTCTCCGTGCGATACAATTGTTTCCCATCGTTTGGAAAATACCGAGCTGCGACATCCAGCCCGATGTGTGCCACACATAACGATCGTCGGGTTACGCGAAATCGGCGGATCGATTACAGGCGCAATTTCTCGGCGTGTACGGGCCTAACAGCGATTAGAAGCCGGGCGGGTCGTAATCTGATTTTAAATTGGTGAAAGCCGCGGCACCGGTGACTTTAAACACCGGTTGTGTCCCTTATAAGGCCATGCTTCATCATATCGGCCCGAAGAAGTATATCGTTGTTCGTCTATCAGCGTGGTTCCAGCCAGTGGCGGATCTAAACTTATGAGAGACAGAAGCTAATCGATTTCTGGGGTCCTTTTTCAAATCTTTCTACGATGGGTGAAAAAATGGTGTTGTTATCATATTAATTCTCTCCTCGATGTATCGGAATGGACTGGTGATAGATTGAGAATCGTGAAAAATAAATGTAAAGCAAATTC